ATACCAATATATATATTTTATTTATGTAAATTTAATTATGTATATGAGAGACAAAATTCTAATAATAGTAAATATTATTAGTAGTCATTTGATCGGGAAAAACTAATGTCAACTATTATCATATTTGTAATTTTGCAAAAAATTTATTTTGTTTTCATTTACAGTGACTGTGAATAGTTTATATGATAATGTTTTAGTATGATACGCTTTTAAATTACAAGCAAATAATGTTTATACAAGCATAATGAAGCATTAAGTCAATTTCATTAATTAATATAATGAGGTTGACCAATATAATTTGCATTTAATGACAATTATATGATAATACTGTTTGATTTTAACTATTCTTCTTTCCAAGCATCCAAATTCAACTTTGGTATACTCTTGCAAGTTACCAACTGATTACTGAAAAAATAAATTAAATTTTAATTATTACAATATCATAGATCATATTGTGTTTCTTTATAGTTATTATTTCAATTATTATAAGATGCTAAAATTAAACTTTAACTATTTTTTTTTTAGTTGTTAAATTATTTATTTAACTATTTATTTAGTTATTAAATTGTTTATTTAAAAATAAAAATAATTATTTAATATTACTAAATGATTCAATTTCAATAGAAATGTTTTGACTATTCATCAGGATACGATAATTATGTTTAAATTAAAAAAAAAACCTTATTTACAATATAATAATTTATAGAGTTTTGAACCTGTTATTTACATAAATATATATTTTTTTACATTATGAACATTTATAATACATCTTGCAATTCAATTGAATTATATTTAACACTGAGAATCGTGATAATTTATGGTAAACATTATTTTTAAATACCATTTACTCGGCACATCAAAAGCATTTCGTTGTACAGTCTGAATATTTGATGTCATACACGTAATAAGAGCCAGTGTCGTTTTTCTAATTTCCTTAAGTTGATCTGCTCCAATACATTAAAATATTAATATTAATTAAGTATTAAATAATGTTAAGGTTAAGATAATGGAATGGTTTGTTAACACGAATAATTGTAATTAATGTGGATCGACAATAAAACTGAACATTTTTTCACCTGAGCTAAAAGTACCGGTCTGGTTGCCGAATTCGTAATAAAATCGATCACCAAACTTCCACCTGAAAAACATTTCTCCGATGATGCACTGGAACGTGTGGCCTAATATGGCTCCAGGTTTTGGCTTTTCCAAGAGACCTGCTGGGTAATAATCTATATCGTTCACGTTTTCATAGAGGTTGGCTAAGACGTCGACATTCTTGAAAATATACACATATAGTTGTTATTCGAATTATTATTGTTCGATAAATTGGCGTGCGGTATCAATAAGCTACACATTTATGAATAGAATGAAAAGTGTCAAACTTACCTTTTTATCTATTTGATCGGTCAAATCATCAAAGGTTTTAGCTTCCCTCAGTCCGCACAGTTTCCTGTACGTATTATAAGAAGGCAATCCAAAATCTCTACCTCGTTCTATATCAATAGACACCAAGTCGAGACCCATTGTTTTGTTTGGGATTCTAAATAAATATTCACTGACCTAAAAAAAAAGCCAAAAATACTTCCATTCATTATTGATATAATATGTTATTTACACTCGTATATTATGTGTTTCTTTGTTACCGAGATTGTAATTTTACCACTCGGGCGCATTTTTCGTGATTTTACGGTAACTTCCTATGTAATAAAAAACAGTAAAACTTACCTCTTCTGTGAAGAATTGATCTTGTCCTTGTGCGTGTTGAGTAAGCAATCCTCTTAAGAAGCTATCGTAATTGTCTTTTCTCTGCACTATGTCAGTTCTTATATAAAAATCACTTAGACGCATTTTCGACGTAACTGATCTGGCTTCACTGACCAAACTATAAAAAGAAAAATTATCTCTAAGAACAAATTAACTAACGAAACTAACGAAAATAATTTGCCTGACATTTTTTTTTTTTATAATTTTTTTTAGATAATTTAACCTTTTAAGTGAGGGAGGGAGATAATCTTAAATATTTATATTACTCTATAAATCCTTGTATGTAGCTATGAAGAGATCTGAAGGCAGCAGCAGTAAAACTGGTAAAAGTAGTTGGGTTTAAAAATTGATTATAATTTAAATCATATCCTTCTTTCAATGGTAGTAACTTGTTTGCTCTGGAATAATCTTTCCCTGCAAATTGAAATTAAGACATATTACACTGTATAATGTTAAATCTACTTATTTTAGATACAATCTAAAATTCTTTGCTTTTGAATATAGTTTTACCTAATAGTATCGGAACAAATTCGTTATAAGTAACATGCTGATACATTGCAATGAGTAATCTTCTGGCTTCTTGATAAATTCGCTCATCGTTCCATGTTGGATTTATTATTTTTAATTGATCGCATAAAGTGTTATGCAGTCTTAGCATGGAGATTGTTTGAACTGACATATCTGGATGTTGGTTTACTCTTAAATCTCCTATTTTAATTAGTAAACAAATAAAAGTAGGTAGTAACTTATTATATTATTTATATTAATAAGTTAAAGGAGAAGCTTAGTAATTGTTATAAAAAATTAGGTACCTTAACTAATTATTCAACGCAGATTATTACATTAAATGAAATTTCTAACATCATGATTGGTATAAATACAACATTTTCAACAAATTTAAAAAAAATATATTTTGCATAGTAGACGTTTTTAATTTAAGACATTTTATGTTTTCTGACTTAATTAATTATTCATTTGTACATAAATACATGTTTAATACATTTTTTATTAATGCTTTGGCTTTTATATGAACTAATGACTTATAATACATTGACTAGGAAAAAATAAATAGAAGATCCTTTAGTGCATTATATTCTTATAATTGTTATATTAACATGGTAATAATTACCGGAAACGTAGCAAACTGTGTTATCTTTAGCCACGTTACAAGACTGAGTTGAATTTTTCACATTGGGTAAGTATGAATTTCCGTCTTCTCCCACTTGACTTCTGAGTCTGCCGTTAGTGAAAGTTCGCAAAGAACGTGCCGTCTTATCGTCTGAACCGTATAACAAAGAAGCGTCGATAAAACTGGTGACTCCGATTCGCTAAAAACCATAACCAATACAAATGTTCAATAAAAATATTTATAAAGTTGTTTATCTTATGGAGGATACATGATAATAAATTTAATTGGTATGAGAAATTAACTACGGGTAAAAAAAAAATAAAAGTTATTCAGACGAAAACACGAGTTTTTTGTAGAATGTTGAATTTCATAGTGCAAAACGCATTTCAATAGTAACATACTTTTCTGACTGGTTTGATTTGACAACCAATGTCTGCGGTGTCCGATGCTCGCTGAGTGGATAAACATCGATTTTTGGAATCTGGATCGTCTTTAGGGGTCATAATTTTAAGACATTCTTTCGGCAGGACTTCTGGAGCAGAACCATCTGGATTGCAACACGCTAATGCTTTTCCATTACCTTTTGTAATACATTAATATCTATAGGCAACTTTACAAACTTATTGTTGAATGTAATATTATAACAGTATCAAAATAAAAGGCTACAATTTGTTTGGGTTTCAACAATTTTGAACATCGAGTTATGTGTTCTACCATATGATATTATTTACGTAGGAACTCAATGTCATTTATCAAATATTTATTTCTATGTTTATCACATCAAGTATTTTCATAATTATGTATTGGCTTATAATTCGACGATATTATCTCAACCCCTGGTTCGCGGATTAATTATTGTAGAAACGTCAAAATTAGAATGATATTCATAGTTCTATAATACGTATTTTTTTCTTTTCGACGGCCAAATTTATTTTAGTCAAAATACTGCTATGCAGTACAACTGAGAAAAGTTGTTTTATGCATTGATTTTGGTGTTGAAGTTTGAAATTTTAATACTTCGAAATACAGATGTCAAATTTAAATCCAATCATTACTAATATGTACGAAAAAGTCAAAAAAATGATTCAAATAAACACTAATGAATTCGTAAAATCATGATTAACTTATTGCCGAGTTCTAAATACAACCCCGTTAACCAACACAGCACTTGCGTGAGTACATTCTATTTACGTGTTAAACATTTACATTATTTAACGGCAGTAAAAAGAAAATGAATTGTAAGTTGATGTTTTTCATGCACACGCAAGAAGATAGTCGTAATATCTTGCGAGCAGTGGTCGATTAGGATTCGAAGAAAAAAAAAGAATACTATTTCCGAACACGCGCTAGTTACAGCTGAATGGCATAAAATAGCTCGCGCAACCAAAAGCGTATAACCGTGCGAGCTAACTTGCACAGCTGCTGCGTTGTCGATCGGCCGGGATCAGCAGTCCCATAGGACTCACGGTCGGATAGGCACTCACTGGAAGTTTTGGATATCGTCAGTTCCGTGTCGTGCGCGATCATTTGACCGAATTGCATGACGTACAGATTATGCTTGGGAGCCGGTCGGTCCATGTCTTTGAACAGAGTGGTTCGCACGTGCCTGGCGTTCGGCAGGTCGCGACCGGACGCGGCTTTCCTCGGCTCGTCCCTGCCTGTTCACAACGACAATCGAACATGTAGTACGCGGTGCGCAGCGGGCAGCGGGTCGGGTACACGGCCAAACAGCTAGGTTAGGTTGCGTGGCAAACACGTGTACCGGTTCCGGTCGTCACGTACCGTCCGAGTAGTCCGCCTGGACGATGCGCGTGCTCGCCGTGTTCGACTGCCCCCATACCGGGAATATCAGGTTGTTGCAGCCGCCGTCGGTGGACCGGAACCGAGCGTCGGGATTGCACTTGGGCTTGGGAAAACACTGGTCGCCGAGATCGATGTCTTGCGGTGACAGCAGCCCTCGGTCGGAATCCGACGAGTCCATCAGCGACCTGTATTGCACGCACATGCAATGCCGTTATTTTCACGTGTCCCGTCAGAGAACGAGAAAAAAAAAAAAAAAAATAAAAAAATAAAAACGTATGCGCGTATCACCACGACGCCAATAAATAATGTGTGTTTATTCACGGTATTTTCGACTGGTTCGGATCCGACTCGTCTCGTGCGCTTTTTTCGGGCCGCGTCTCCGTCCGGCCGCCGTCTTCCTTGTCCACGTCGCGCGCGCACCGCGATCCCGGTCGATCTGCATCCGTCAAAACGATCGATGAGAACGCCGGAACGACGTAACGTAAATCCCTAGGTTTACCTGCACCGCCGTCGGAGTGGCACGCGACGGCCACGAGTAAACCGAAGAAGACCGCGGCAACCCTCTTCGTCGTCATCGTCGTCGTCGTCATCGTTGTCGTCGTCGTCGTCGTCGTCGTATTGTACCGGTACTTATCGACAACGTCCCGGGGCCCCTACTGAAACGCACCGGGATACGGACTGTATATATTTCGATCCGATAGCCGTATAATTACCGTACGCGATATCGGTTATTTATTGTAATATCCTCGAACAATGGTGCCCCGCAAGTACATAAATAATTAACCATCTTATCGTCGTTTGAGATACATATGATTTTTTTTTTTTTCTTTTAGAATTTAATGTCACACGACATTGCGATTAGAGACCGTCTGACAGTTCCCCGTACCTTAATAAGGATTTTCATGCGAATACCGAACACGGTTCATTATTATTATAGTTCACCAGTGAACACATTCGGACGTCTACGTTTGCCACTTACGTATCATTGTTGTATTAACTAAGCTCGACGATGTGTGCAAGAATAATACTAGTATAAATTCTATAATACATATATATATATATAAACTTGCCGACCCGGTAATGCTATACTATTGTTAGATTTCAGTACATTTATACATGTTTAGGAATATGCGAAGGGTTTGATACGGAATTGTATCAGATAATTTTATATATAAGTGTGGAATATATTTTTTTTGTTATGATGTATGATTTTTATTTTTTTCGTCAATTATTTCAATTCGTCTTGAACATTAAATATTTCTGGACACAGCACGTTAAGTGTCCCGTCTTATGGAGCCAATAGATTTTATTTGAATGTGACACGTGACAGAGCTACGTATCATTGGCCATGGGAAAAAACTGGACGGTTAGGCCTAAATAACGTTTAATTTTTGACCCTGTGCCTTATTAATAGTTATTGCAAAGCTTAATTTCGTGGGGAATTGCAGCCGCCTAAACTGGAATGGCAAATTTATTGGTATCATTGGTATTCTAGGAACCAAGACCGTTTCCCTAGCTCCACAACCAGTACGGGTTATACACTCAAGTAGACAGTTTTTTAAAGATTTTATTTGTAACCTTGTACCATTGAATAATTTTGGTGGACTTAAGTTCCGAAAAATAATTAAAGGAGAACCTACCTTTAGAATTAATTTGTATGGTAGAGTCCTTGAAGTAGATAAAGAGTTTAAAAATTCAGTTGGATAATATATCATTTCATTTGATTCTAAAACAGTGTCAACGGAATGGTAAACTTTTGTTAGTGCATTGAATTTTAACAGTATCAAGTCATTTATTTTATTGACTTGTTCGTTAGTTGGTGACAATATTGCTCTTTTTTTGAATCCAAATTGACTTTTTAGTCAAAATTTTAGGTAAATTTGGGTAAATATTTTCAATTAGGTTCAGCAAATTAGACATAAAAAAACAAAGCTTAGACAAATCAATTTACTATTTCTAGTCAGTGACTGACCATTACTAACACTGAGTAAAACATCAGCAAAAGGCTTATTATCTTGGTCAGATGATTCTTATATTAGTTTTTAGTTTCAATTTAGTTATATCTGGCCAAATATAAGATTTCTTTAATGATACATTGATTTCATCAACTCTCGTTGCTTTTACTACAACTGGCAAGATTTGACGAAAATCTTCAGAAATTATGACTGTACAGCTACCCATTAATGTATTTTTATCACGTAAGTCCAACAAGGTTCTCTATCCAATGCCTATCCAATTTTGTGGGACGTGGATGCTTCGTCCCAAACAATGAATTTTAAATGAAAAATTTAAATTCAATTTAAATAACTCGTGAGTTTAATGATTCCCCTAGATTAACTAAATTATAAGCAATTACTAAAAAATTACTTAAAACATTATTCGAGACGGATTTACACAGTTGATCTTGATTAAATTGACTCTATACTATCGTCGCAATATTTCAGAGTTTTTTAACAACTTAAACAAACTGTTTATGAAACATCAGCATATTTCATTTATTAAAATTTGATTTATTATTTTTGAATTAATTAATATAAAATGAATTAAACGGTTCGTTAAAAAATAACATAGAGTAGGCATACACATTTTTATTTAATGATTTTTTTTTTTATTCATGATATAGACTTAAAATGTAGAGTATCAAAATTAGTAACATTGATCTGTTTTTCAGTGCGAATTATTCAATTAATATTAATATTCAAACATTTGAAAGTATCAAATTCATTCGAAAAAAAAAAAATAAAATAAGTACGTTATCTACATAAAATATTGTAACTTTCTTTTTTTCCGTTTAACTAAATAAAATAAAAACATGTATTTCATTAACTTGAAACCATAGTTTTTATAGTAAAAAAATTAATAAAATATTAGTTTTTTATACAATAAATTGGAAAGTCATTTAATTAAAGTTTATATAATACATATATATATATAAAGATTTTTAATAATATTCTTAATAGATCTTCATATGATTAAACCCGTTGAAAGATTAGGTAATTATTGAAAATGTTGAGAAATGTTAAAATGACAAACATAATATTTTTAACCAGTTCATATTCAGATAATTATATAATTAAAGGTTCAACATTTTTAATGTTTTGAATTAATTAATACCATTTTAGTTGGTCGTTTAAAAAAATGACGTGTGAAATACTAGAAATTCAAATCAAATATTTCAATTATTGAGCAATAGATTATTGACAATTTTATGTTTTTTAATTTTGTTGAATATTCAATATTTTTAACGATTTATAAAATATTATACTAAATACCAATTAGGCAAATTATTGATGGTGATCAAATATGGCATAAGATTTTGGTTAAATCATCACTAATCGCCAAAAACAAATGTAACTGTCTATTAATAAATATTAAAATGATTAAAATAACAAAATAACTATAATTCATACCCCATCATTACTTTATATATATATTCTATCATTTAACGTTTAAGTAATTAAGCAATAGGAACATTTGTTATGTGTAAAAAAGTCAAACTGAATATTATATACAGTTTAAAGCATTCTAGATTGATAAAAGTTTTAAAATAATTTCGTTAGTTAGTAACTGTCATGATATACACTTCGTCACAGTTTAGTGGTAACATCATAAGTGTACATTTAAGAACTATAGTATACAATAATAAACTAATCAATGGTGAATATAATTTAACTATTGATCCTCAAAAATGTATCGACTGTTATCATTAAATTATGACCAACTGCCTCAAGTGAGTTTAAAACCAATAGTTGACCTTTATCAATTTGTTCATCCGTAGCATACAGTCCAAGAATAACTTTCGGTCGAGTAATGACTTCTGAAGTGAACATTGAAGTCATTTGTGTGATAGCTTTTGTATCCATCTATAAATCATTGAAAAATATAAAAAAAACGTGAAGTGAATGCTGAAATACTACGAAACTTACACAGAATCGTGTGCCACAGAACACGACAGCATTATCGTCGGTTCCAATCAGGGTATAAGTGGGACCACAGGCAATAATCTAAGAAATAATAAGTTGTAAAATTTATGTTATTTATGTTTTATAGACATTGAGGATTATTTTTGGGATAACGGTTATAATGAATTTTAATATTTATTTATTTTTTAATCATCATTGTATTTTAAGTAAATAAAAAAGTACGTTTCATAATTTTGCTTTTGAAATTAAAAACATTTTTGTATAATTTAATATTTCTGAATTCCGAAGGCATGTTATACTATTTTAAACTTATATATTAAATTATTAAAAGTATTTTACAAGTTTCGAAGCAAATAAAATATTATTTTTAAAATTATACTAACACTAAGTTTTATAGTTTTTAAATAACTTTAATTTTAATAATATGTTTTTATGATATTTAAAAAATGTATATGTCATAATATTTTCATGGCTATTTTTAGAATGTATTTTAAGTTTTTTTGTTTGAGCTTATTAATCGCACTATCTGTATGATAATAATTAACATATTATGTAATACGAAACTGATATACTTGTGCTTTGCTGTATCCAGGCAAACGAAGTAAATTCGGTTTGTTTTGAGATACATGTGGTTTTCCTCGTTGAGAGTAAATATTACTTCCCCAGATTACAACGTGTCCTTCCGAAGTTATAGCGGCACCATGGCACTCACCAAAACATATATTAGTCACTTTTAATCCTTCCAAGAATTTTACCTTGGTAAATAAACTTTCAAACGGCACTTCTTTAAACTGTAAATAATAAATGACAAATTAAACCACTGCAGATACAAATTAAAATTGATTGTGAGCCACAGTCAAATAAACATAAGCTACATACACTGAGTATTAGTGAATGTATAATCGCATATACCTGTACGCATTATTTGCCATGTATAAGGTACGTATTTTTCGAGCCTTATTTTCATACAGAACAAATTAATAAAAATAAATTCCAAACGATTGCATGACAAATATATAATTCATACGAAACGAAAATACATTTCTATACAATGAAAATAACGATTAAAACAATAATATACAAGTTTATTTGTATGGGAAAAAACATAAACTTCCGAGTACACGAAATAAATCGTAAATGTGTTCTAGAAGTCAAACAAGACAAGTTGATAATATGATAGTCGAAGGTAAATATAACCTAACCTATGTAATAAAACTTATAAAAGTTTAAGTCTGCATTAACCGTGTGTGTTTACCGCGGTCAAAATGTATTATGAGTACTGTTACATGACACCTAGACACACGGGGTAGTCTGCAGTATTTTTCGTAACCATTCTACATTAAGGCGTTTTTTAGCATCGTGATTTCGTAAGTATAAATAACAAACCTGTGTTTAGTTTGGGTTAGGTTTTAATTGATTATTGTAATAGTAGTCGGTCATGACTAAGTGCATTTGTTAGTTTGTTTTATATTTGATTGAAAGTTGTATCTTGAGCTATGATTAGTAAAATCATACGATCGACGAAGACGAAGCGCTATGCTCTATAAATTAATTTTCTTGAAATTGTGTGTTCACGCTCCATTTTTAACACATCAAATATTACTGTGAATATCTGTAGAAGTCAATTTTAGTTATATATGACATAGTCCAATAGTTAAACAATCCTAATTCCCAAGCTCAGAGATTATATATGCTCATTATTGCTTACCTAAGTAACTTTTCCATAAGCCTCCGTGAGCTGTTCTTTTAAACGATAAAATAATGAATAAAAAATATATAAGTTTATCAATATTAATGAACGGTGTGCCGTTGTTATTAAACGAATGGTCTTTAACTTATTTCGACTAACAATCCTTTTTATAAATTTGATAATGAATGAAGCGAGGTTAACACCCAAGTTAGACGATATATATAATAATAAAAAAAAACGTTCAACCGGACATCAGTAATACTGAAATAAAATTGGGTAAACACAAAACGTGACATATGGATATACACTTTATATAATTGTATAAACTACCTATTAAATGTAGATACCTTTATCGTGACCCAATATCGGGTCATGACCTGTAGGTTGAAGACCAATGAAATAAATAACATCGATGGACTGAATATAGTATAATATAGTATTCTATAAGGATTTTATTTCAAGCATTTTATGGTTTGAAACGAAAGATGTAACTTAGTTGAGTCTCAGATTAATTTAGGTACCTATTACCATGAGCATTATTTTGATAAAAAATGTATAAGTGTTGAAGTCTTCGCAGTAAAATACTAGTTTGCAAACTCATGGGATCTAATAAATACAATAAAAAAAAAAACTCTTCTGGAGTTAGTTAATTACAATAATTATTTTAACGCTAATTTAGAACTCTGAATCAAAAATATTTTAAGATTTGTTCTTTATTGTGTCATATTTTGTAAAATTCTGACGGTTATTATCGTTTCGACAAAAAAACATTTTTAAGCATATCTGCGATCAAAAATGTATCACAAACAGTTTTAATTTTGTTACAAACGGAAAAATGTTCATGTTATGTAGTATTTACCATTACCAAATAACATCTGGGACCAAACTAGCGTAGGACGTAAAATAATTCGGGACTTAACTGGTATGTTACCTTTTATTTTTGGGACCCAACTTGAATACATACACTGGAAACGAGAAGGCACAACACGGTTGTGTGGGCTAACCACCTTAAACAAATAATATACATCAATTTAATTACTTTGAGCTTGAACAAAGACGGTCGGTTTAAACCGAGTTTATTGCATTTGTTCAGTCCACATGCGTACACGTTTTGGTGCTCCGTGATAATGGCCGTGCAATCGGGACCGCATTGAATCGACGAAATGTTCTCGTCGAGGTGCCAGTTGACGAGAATCGGAAAACAGCTATAATTTACGTACAACAGTTCACATGACGAGATTAATTAACGTTAACGATGACTTCGAGTCACGGAAATAAGAGGGATGAAGGAGCAACTTGCCAGTCCTGTAGATTTCCCAGGCCCAGTTGACCGTAGTTTCCACGGCCCCAAGCGTACAGCTGTCCCTCGTTCGTCAGCGCCACCACGTGATGATTGCCGCAAGAGATTTTCACTACGTCTACTTTCAGTAAAAATTCTATTGAACATAAAAAATAATACACGACTAATCAGTTCAACGATATGTCCAAAAACAATCGGTCGATGTTGAGACCGCAGGTTACCCAGTTTGGCTCGTAATATCGGGTCCCTGACTAGGTATTTTTCAATGGACTCATGTTGAGGTAAACTATATATTCTAAGCATTAAGAGTAATATCATGTGAACAAATGGCAAAACGGACAATTCTACGTCGACAATCATTTTTCGGCCCATAACGTTAAAACCACATGGATTCTAATACTGCCTGGTCAGGTTAATTTTTATATTCTCACCAAAGATTAGTGATTATTTAGTGATGTCACAGATGTTAGATGACGATTATTATTTTGTTTTCTCGATTGTAGTTTTTAGATATTTTTTTCAACGTATTTATGAAAAGACCAAAAAAAATTGTAAACCATGTCAAATATCGTTTTTTATGATGACTAATGATAATTGTGTGTAATGCTAATTATAATCAATGTTCTTTCCCTTTTAACATCGAACATTTAAATGTTGCCCTTATAAAAATCACTCTCAACCGACTCATACTGCAGCTAACTAACCTATTAATTTCGGTCTGTTAACACTGTTCCAATCTCTATGGCCCAGCGCACCGTATTTTCCATCGCCGGTGGTCAGTACCAGACCCGTACTACTGACGAAGACACTGAAGTTTTGCCCGGCTCCCACTCTATTCGAAATAAAAAAAAAAAAAAAAAAAAATTAGATATATTCAGTATTCAATCGCTATGTAGTTTTAAGCGAAGTAGGATCGATTTATAACTGAGTAATGTGTTTGTCCAACAGAGCGACTGCGCATTGAGGATCGTTTTTCCACGGCGCTTCCTCACCATGTCCCAACTGGCCATGTTTGTCTTCACCCCAAGTGAAAACCGAATAGTCTAAGAACGCGAAAGCACAACAAACAAAATGTTCGAATTGAAACGTAAACATAATCTCCACGGAAATATTTACCACTCGTGAGAGCGATGAAGTGAGTTTGGCTCACCGCGAGCTGCAATATTTGAACCCTGAACGGCAGGTGAACTGGCTCCAGATTTGTCGGAGACGAAAACTGATACACTACCGATCTGTTCAAATGACATCATCAATAAGTCGGATAATAATCGAGCTTACAATTGCAGGAAAAAGCGGTATCTCGACAGCGTTATCTCATCGCGGTCTACGCTCCTATGTACGATATACCTACCTGTTTTGTAAATCTGTACTGTTCGGTTCAAATGCGTCTTCGATCAAATCGGAATCGGCGATGAACTCAATGAAATCAGGAACTACTTCCACCAAGTAATCGGCATCAGGCCGTCGGAGTGGATTTTTTTGCAACAAATCGTTGACCAATCGCTTCAGATTAGACGAATAACTCAATGGTATCGGTGCAAAATTTTCCTAAAAACCCAAAAATATATTGATAGTCATGGTTATACCTACACGATAATAAAAACGAAAAATAGCGTTCTAATTTAGTATGCGAATGATTTCGATGTCGATTTACTTTCGTAATAAAATGAATAAGCGCTGGTAGATTGGAAGCGTCGAAGGTGCGCTGAAGGCTCGTCATCTCGTACAGTATACAGCCCAACGCCCAAATATCCGATTTTTTATCGTATTGCTTACCCTCGCACTACGAATCAATAACGTTTTAGATGACTTTCCTTACGGCATCGGACTATAAAGTCTATACGAGTTTACTCACCATTTCTGGGCTAATGTAATACGGTGTCCCGACTACCGTCAACGCTTGTAACTTAGTCGTCATTATTTTCGAAATACCGAAATCTCCTAGTTTTACTTTACGATCTCTTGTTAGAAAAACATTCGTCGTTTTTAAATCTCTTGAAAAAAAAAAAATGGAAGCATTTTCAGCACGTTATTTCATAAACATGTAAACATCGTTTTTATGATAATTTATCAAGATAACGCTCAAAATTGGTCGTCCCTCAAACGCGCATTATCATATGTACACTAATAGCAATATATAGTAATTGTAAGCGCATTTGGCCAACCGGTATGCAATGAAAAAAAAAAAATAAATAAATATTGTTATTTATAAATGTTTATAAATTGAATTATTTATGTTTTATAATTTATAAAATTTGATTGATAGTTTAAACAAAAATTTAATACATTTGTTTGTACAATTCTGATGATCGAAATGTATCTATCTTGATAGATTTGTCAATATTAGTAAAATATTCATCTAAGATAAATGTTTAGATACCTTCTCATTATTTTTATAGGTAAGATTAAAAACGAATAAATAAATATTTAGGTGATGCGTTTATATAATTTATTTAGATATGTCTGAACACTGCTAATAGCTCGCTTATAGTTTGTGGAAAAATAGAATAATCAAATAGCGATTATCGTGTCGAACTTCGATTTATTCGTCCCGCCCAGGTCACGGTATCATAAATATTTTGTTGCCGTTCCACAGCGAGTTACAGTAAATATTATTATTCTTTACAGGTCACAGACCTTTTGCGCGGTGTCGATGTAGGGTAGCGCGGAACCGACCTTTCGGACGAGTTATTCTAATGTAATATAAAGAACGGTTCCCTTTGCCCGTCGACGTACATATCATGTTTCTATAATAAAAGCACGCATTAATATATACTCAATCCATAACACTTGTCACCCAATTTTTTTTTTTTTTAATTCACCTACAATTTCCTTAAAACTCAACGATCAATCTAAATAAACGCGTTACTGATCTGACATCGATAAGTGATTGCAGATCCAAAGAGTAAAGAACCACCATGCATACGAGCGATTGATAAATTAATATCAGCACACATCCTATATTATGCTGTTATAGCCTTCGCGAGCAGTTTATCCAAAGTGTCTCCATAGGTCTCCACTACATGATAGCGCTTGAGATGATGTAAATCAGTAATTGTCAAACTAAACTGCTAAATAAAAATAACTACTGTACTTTTGTTCGAGCGCAGGGGCGACTCTAGGGGGAGCTAGGGGCCGCAGCCCCCTCCCAAGTCCGTACCGTATTTATAAAAAAATGTATACTGTTAACGAAAAATGCATATTATGTACTATCATACGACACGCACAAGTATGAAGATAGAGCCATAGAGGTATGACGGTTGAAAGGAGTTTCTCCACACTTTGAAGACTAAAAACCTGGCTTCGTTCAATGATGAATGAAGATAGACTATCAGCATTATGTCTAATTAATGTATATCATAAAGTAGATATTCTAGATCAAATAGATCATATTATTGATATTTTTGTCAATTTTAAAAATACACAACTTGAATTTGTGTTGTAAAAATTGTTGTTTTCTTTTTGTTATAAGATTTTGTGAAATTACAACTCGGCCCCCCTTCTAACCAAGGCTCTGGAGCCGCCCCTATTCGAGCGTTTAACAAAATTAAATTTTTACAAATAACTTTGTGCAAATAATACGTAGGTATACTACTTTTACGATTTACATAGTTGAAAAGCTCGAAAAATTTTACTTTCATAAAAATATATCATTTTATGTATACCTGTGCAATATGTTGCGTTGATGAATGCATTGGATGGCTTTGGACATTTGTAAGAACATTTCTAAGATTTGTCTCTCTGGTAATAAAGTCGTTTTGTGTCCAATCAGATACTCTGCTAGAGTACCACCGTCCGCGTATTCCATTTCAATCATGAGAACACCATCAATTTCAAAACTTCCGTAGTAGCTTTATGACATTGAAAACAAACGAACAATATAGAACAATATTTATTATCAACCCTAGAGTTTCAAAACCTTATTGTGTTTTTGCTTTTGAACAATACAATCAACACGCGTCACTACAGTATAAGTCGTATGTAAACAATACCTTATTATATTTGGATGACTGAGTAACGATAAGACTTTCGCTTCGTTCAAAGCAAGTTGTCGCTCTTGTGCCGTCATATCTAACATATTTATTTGCTTGATGACCACTAAGTTATTTTTATTCGTATTTCGGTACAAAGTCGCCACCCCGAACGCTCCTGTATCATTGTAAAAATACAATAGTTGAACAGACTTTAACAGGTATACGATCCCACGTACTATATGTTAACATTCGTACACTTACCTTTCCCTACGGTTCTAATCCGTTGATAGCCGTCCAAAGCAGTCTTGGTAGACCGCGTATCGGTCGAGTTGAAATACAATTCTCCGTAGTACTCCTCTCCCGTCAAATCGTCCCATATCCCTACGTCACACTAAAATATTTTTGTAGAAGAACATTTACGACGATCAAATTATATATGACTAGGTATACTTGGGTCAAATGCCGCAGAGCTACACATAACTGATATTTTACGCAGCTCGACGCCAAACGACTATTGAAAAAATCTAGTCTAGATGATCCGAATTGACAGTAATCTGACAACGACTTAATGAAATAATTTATATCTGGATCATCGATGATGCTATCGCCATTCAGAACCTAATAAAATATTTTTAATACATAGCGTATTATGTTGTATACGTTTAGCGTTTATTATTTGAATTGTTATTAGTATTATTATTATTTAATTGTTTGATATACATCCGAATTTCGATACTTCAAAACTTGAAGTTTAAATTCAATTTTAATTCAATAATTATTCAATTATTATTAATCAGGGTTAATATTTTAGATTATTTTTTTTCTGTAGAAAACTAAATCGTATACTTTATCGTCTGCAGAGCAAATATAGAATTGTGTTTCGTCCGAGTGTACTAGAATGGCAATACTTTTCACTTTCCGATGTTGCATTTTGTCATCCACTTTTGCTATAAAAATAGTAAAAAAAAAAAAGTTGTGGTGTTTAAGTATTTACTTCATAGTATTATTCAAAAGTAACGATGAACTCTAATACATTATTTTAATTGTCAACATTTAACACTTTAGCAAAATTTTGCCCAGAATCATTTAAACGAAATAAATTAAACAATATTATCAATTTCTCTACACTTTAAAGATTTATTTAAAAATAAAATCATTCATATGCTATAAAAATATGCAAACAACAAAGAGTAAAAAAATATTAATATTACGTACTATGTATATTTTAATCTAATTGACAACTATGATATTTTATAAAATAATAAAAAATTTAATTAAAATTAATAATTATTAAATAATTAACATTCGTAATTTAGTATATAAATAAATAAATAGTTTATAAATGAAATAAATAAATAAATGCTTGAAATATCAAAATAATTAATTAACGAATTTTTTAAAATGTTAAACAGTAATACTTATAATGTAAAAATCGCTTTTTAAACTAATAATAATAATTTAATCGAACGTTTAAATAATAGAAGTAAAAACTTCACGAAAATGTTTCCTTTTTGAAAATTCTGGTATGTACAAACTTAAATGTAATTATTATAAATTTCATTCAGATAAGACAAATAGAAATTTTAAATAAGATTAAAGAACACAATTCGGGAATAAAATTAAAAATACTGCTTCTAATTCAAATTTTGTTAAACATGTTTTAAAAAATAACCATAATCTAAATTTTGTTATCAATGAAATAGTATAGAAATATTAAGTACTCAAAATAATGTTTACATTGATTTAGTTTTAGAAAAGTAATACATACATAATAAAATAAAGAAAAATAATTTTCTATATCAAAACATTTTAGATAACAATTTATAATAATAATTAAAGTATTTATACTCCTTAACATAAGCTTTGTCTAATAAGAACTCAATTTAAATAATCTTTCCTATTAAAATAAATTATCTCTATGTAAAACGACCAATTTTTTTCAATTTATTCCTTCCTTTAATTGTTTGTATTCAGTCGCGATTTTATTGACTTTGTAACCTAATCTGAAGATGAATATTTAATTCGAAACCGGTCGTACTAACAAATGTAATAATACTCTAGGCTATGCATTTATTTATTTATTTCTATACTAAAACTATTTGTTTATTTATTTATAAACTATAATATTTTGTTGTACAATTTACTATTATTGTTTTAGTACTAAGTTTTTAATGACTGTATTTGTCAGTAATAAAATATGGGTAATATAATATAGTAATATGAGTATAATACCGATAGGTATTTATTTATTTGAAATATTATAATAATATTATAGATAGGTACGTACAAATAATGTCGTCCAGCGAAGATGTATCATAGTTATATCTTACAACGAACACGCCAGGCAAGGTATTTTTCACTGCATTCGTAAACTCCGGTGCCCGGTTTGAAACTATCAACAGACGATTTGATTTCACACCGTAGTACAAATTATAATTCATTACTGAGTGACGATGAACGCTCAACTATAATGGTTTGAAGCAAATGCGAAGTACCCATCCGAATAATTTGAACGGTGTTTTTGAACCCGCATATATATACGATCTCATTGTATGTTGCCGTAAACGTTACTAGGGTAACTGATAAAAAATAAAAAAAAAATGAAAAAGAAAAAAAAAGTCATAACACGCACAGCCCTCGGTAAAGCGTTTTTAACCGTATTGAAATGGTGTCCTGAATTAAAATTAAAAAAAAACAACAACGGACAGGTCACCGTGCGGTTATTGAGGAATATCGATTAGTAACCGATTCCGGATGGGTTGTACAGATAAGGTAGATACCTATAATAGTTCTGTATACTTATTGACGTAGGGTTAAAATCAAGAATTGGCATTCTCACCCCTGCGTCATAGTATAAAATTCTATAAGTTACACATATTGTTTTAACTGGGCTCTAGTAGTATTGTCAAGACGACTTCACATGATTATCACGTGCGTAATAACGACGGGACGCATATTCAAATAACAAATTAAGAAAGTGTAGAAATTAATGTAAATATTTTAACGTTTAATGATTACGTGTGTTGGCTGGTTAGTTTTGCCTAAGTCATTGAGTAGGTTAAGAATAAAATTATTTTTATATTTCGTATAATTATTGGTAATATAAGTATCCAATTTATGTTTCAATCCTCTATATAGTTAATATTTTTTGACAATATATAAACTGGTTGTCTTGATTCAAATTATTATACATTTTTGGATAACTCAACGAAATATCCGATTTCACCAAAATATAATTTTCCAATGCTTATAAGAAATGTTGTGTTTTTTTTATTGTTGATATATTTACCTTCAACTATAAGATCAACTTAAAGGAGTATTCTAAATATACTCTAAATAAAATAATAAATAAATAAATATAACCTATTCCGAATGAAATTTTGAAATTAAAAATCAAATATTTTATTGGACTGTAATCGACTCAAAGAAAAAGGGAATTCACATTATTTATAACACATGATACAACAATATTTCAAAAATTGTACTATATTTATGAAATTCCCATATAAATAGTTCATCAGTAAATATTTCAAATTATGAAGATTAATACTTTTAAAATACCAACAAAATAACTAATATCATTTACTCAAAAATCATCCCTTCATTCAGAATTTAAAATATGTTATTTTATTGTTGTATCCTTCAATGTAAGTATCATGGAATACGGATAAAAACTATATTAAATTAGATTTGCTATCTTGTGATCATTGTGAGAACTTGATATAAACGTAATAATGGTTAGGTTAATTATCAAAGTCTTGTGTTTCTATATATTCTATACTTATATGGTACAGTTAATATTACAAATCAAATATGTATATAAATATTATACATGCATATTTATCATAGACCATGGTATACGGAAGGAATAAATACTTGTAAACGATAAAGAAGACGAGTGATTTTTCAGTCACAATAAATGTATTTGTTTTCAAAAATGACATGATGAATGTGGTTTAAAATATCATACAGATGATATTTGAACCAATATAACAAATGATGGAAAGCTATGAGGGTATAAAACATTAACAAGTAGTATAAAAAAAAAAAAATTATGAAAACTTAACTAATTTTCTACAGTCTGTACACTGTAACGCATCAAGAGTATGTAATATTTTTAATACTTCTTGTAGTCACTGCTGCCGCTTGAGTAGCTGGTTGATGGAGGTCCATATGAGGAACCGATGCCGGACGACGAGCTGTATCCACTGCTGGACGGTGCACTAGAGTAGTCGGACGAGGAGTATGATGAGGAAGAGTAAGAAGACGGTGAGGCAGCACCATACGACGAGGAAGAGTATGACGGGGCGGCTGCGCTGTAAGAAGCGGAAGAGTATGACGGGGCGGCTGCGCTATAAGAAGCGGAAGAGTATGATGGGGCGGCTGCGCCGTAAGAAGCGGAGGAGTATGATGGGGCGGCCGCGCTGTAAGAAGCGGAGGAGTAAGATGGGGCGCTCAAAGCGATGCTGGCCGCTGCTGGTGCGGCGTAAGATTCAGCTGCGTATGCAGGTGCGGAGGCAGCGTAACTGATAGCTGGAGCTGGGGCAGCAGCGACGGCGTATGAAGCTGATGCGGGAGCGGCGTAGCTGATGGCTGGAGCTGGAGCAGCCACGGCGTAGGATGCTGGTGCGGAGATAGCTACGGCTGGGGCTGGTGCAGCGATAGCTACGGCTGGGGCTGGTGCGACGACTGGGGTTGGCACGGAATATGGCACGGGTTGTTGGATTTCTACTGGGTACGGTTGTGGCACGGAGTATGGGACTGGTCTGGTGACTGGCACTGGCACTGGGTGTGGTACACTAACCGGGACGGCCCTTGGGACATCAACTGGGTACGGCCTGTTGACTGTGACTGGAACTGGGTGAGGTACGCTGACCGGGACGGCTCTGGGCACGGACACTGGCACGGGCTGTGCGACTGGCACGGGAACGTGACGGGTCACCGGTACTGCGTACGGCTGCGGCACGGACACGGACACAACATGGTTGGACGTACTGACTCTGGTGGGCACGGAGGCGGCTGAGATGCCGTAACCGTAGGCCGGGGCTGCGATTCCATAACCGGACGAGGCGGCGAATCCAAGACCAGCTGGTGCTCCGAATCCGTAGCTAGCGGCAGGGGCGGCGTATCCGTAGCTAGCGGCAGGGGCGGCGTATCCGTAGCTAGCGGCTGGGGCGGCGAGACCGATGCCCGGTGAGTAGGATGGGATGCCAATGCCGTATCCGCTGCTGAGTCCGAATGACGATCCGGAAAGGCCGTAGGACGACGCTGAGTATCCGGACGCCAGACCGGAGAAGCCTACGCTTCTCTTGTTCTGTTTGTTATCGGCTTTGGCATCTTCGGCGGACACGCAGTGGGCAATTAAAGCCAAACCGACAACACAAGCCTGTAAAACGATAAGTCGGACATTTCAACAGACGCGTATTTTGCCCCGACCGAGGCCAAGGCGCGCCCGTTCGAACGAATCCGACAAGCTCGAAAGCCAAACGGACACGTTTACGTGCAGGTGGGCCCATACTATGCGGCTACGGATTGTACGAATACTAACCTTAAGGAATTTCATGGTGACTTCACTGCGATGTTGTCTGGACGATTGGCTACGATGTGACTGATGCCAAACACCGTCACGCGCCGAGTTTTTATAATCGCTCTGTCCGGGGACAACACCGGTGTTGATTTTTTTTTTGAGCGCGTCCCACCACCGCTTCGGTGATATTTTCGCGTTAATCGGGTCCGGGCACGACGCTTTCTCTGCGCCGCGCGACAGGAGCATATCGCGCGGCCGGTTATGTCACGGCGGCAGGACGGTCGGTTCGGAACAGGACCGGTCCACGAGGATGTCACCCGGCTGGCTGCCGCCGAGAGACGCGGTAACAGGTGTATCCGAAGTGTTGTTGCACAACCGCCGCTCGAGAATTCGGTGCACGGACGCGACGTCGTGGTTGACGTCTCTGGTTTCTTCGGCAGCGCGCCATATTTGTCGGACGGGTTTTGCCGACCGATCGAAACTCGTCCGCGCAGATCTACGGTGAATAAGCGTTCATCAACATGCGTTCATCCGTATCCAACCAACGATCCATTTCGAATTGTCGGTACTCGTTCGATCCAGTGCGAACAGTACTGTCATTTTCAGGTACAAACGTATGCGGTGGTTCTAAGGGTTCCACTCACCCCCGGTAATATCAGAAATTTTTGATTGATTTTTTTGATTGAATAAAAATGACCGGCCTACGGATTTGATAGTTATTTCAGTTTATCGCGATACTCGCTAATAAAATGGAAAAATATTTGTACACCGAGCAATAAAAACTTGATGTTTATCAGAATTCTACATCTTATATTTTTTCAACCCCTATCTGTCGAAATTTTTTTCTGCGTTCACCACTGACCATATCGCCAGAATGCATATGGAAGCGGAAAGAACGCGAAGTACGGAAAGACTATAATCACGGAGTTGGCCAGTGCTCTTCAGCATACTTCGCGAGTACTTACATTGAACAAGTCTCGCACGCGCTTCCGCATAAAAAAACAGCGGACGCGTCGAAATACATTAACCGTTGAACGTAGTTCAACAGATAATATTATTTAATAATGCGTTCCGCGTACATTGGATATATCATTTTTTTTTTTTTTTTTGTATTTAAAAGAAACAATATCATTTATAGTATCACTCTTAAAATAAATTAAATCGTAAAATTGGATAGAGAAAAAAAATTTCAAACATTACTGGTGCTAAAATGATATAGATTCACCGATGAGACTGAAAATCTGCAAGTTCATACTTAGTTAATAGTTAAAAAGTTTGCAAACATTACAAAATCTAATGCACCAAATATTTACTTGTTTATCTGTAATTTCAAAAACTTACATAAAAAAAAAATGATATAATGTTAAGCTTTTATAAAGTGTTTTATGTTAAAATTCAATACAGTTAAGATTATCTTCACGAGTATTCACGATTATATTTTGTTTTTATCTTCCGTAAATACTTTTTATAATTTGAAGTTATCTATTAATTTGCATCAACATCATATTTCATTAAGAATCAGACTAGTTTGGTATATCAGAGAGGAGACTTTTTTATTAAGCTTATTAATATTTCGAATCTTTTGTAATAAACACATGAATTTGATTAAATATTGAAAATATGATATTGTAAATTATAAAAATCTACAACATATCATACAGTAGATATAATATTTAATAAGTAATCTAATGAGTATAATTAGATTTGATTTATCTAATGATTTTTCAATTCAAAATCAGTGAAAACCGGTACTTATTTGTAATACAATGTATTGTATATTCCTTTATATGATTTTTATTTAATTTTGATATTGTTGAAAAGTTATATTAAACCGTAACATGTACATATAAATATTTAATATTAATATCATAAGTATAATAATTTCTGTTCAATATTTGACATTAATGGTCATTTAAAAAAAGTAGTCATATCTCTGGTTAATACTTTCACAAAAAATTCTACTTCCAGTTTTTGGTCCAAAATTAGTTACTGACAGCAAAGTATTAATAAAATAAAAATTAACATTTTTTTAATATGTAATTTCAACAAGTATGCTTCATCCATGGTAGTAAATATGTATGAAAATAAGTATTTAGTTAAAATATCATTTTTAACTTTCATTAATTTTGAAATATTGATTTTTTATAATTTTAGTGTCAAATCGATATAACATAAATTTGAATAGTCATAAAATATAGCATTAATTTTTTTGATAAATGTTGGAAAGTTTATATATTTATATTATGTAATATAAAACTGCATCGTAGCAGTTTACTGTGAATAACGAAAAAAAAAAAATGTTATTTTGTAAAATCTGAACAACTTTCAATTTTATAACATAATAGTGTTAAAAAAATGTAATAATAAGATTATTATAAAAGTGATCAATAGCATATAGTGATATGATGAATTGAATTTGATATTTCAAAATGTTTTGTAAATAATATGTTGATGCAATGGGTTTGCGTAGTATCTACCGATTTAACTTACACAATATGAAGATAAGAACTGTATACTTGAGCTTTTTGACAATAAGTGTATCCGAGCTGGGCAATGGCTTAAAATATTATCAATATCGTCGATCACAGTGATAAATAATTGATAAAAATAAGCGAATAAAAGTTGTGTAAAAACACATACGTATATAATAAAACAAATAGCGTTTGCGATACTCTGGATTTGAAGAATTGAAATAAAATTATATTGGTTAGTAAATTATTTACTACTATCTATTAATATATTATTTATTTTATTTTATAATTATAAATTATAAGGTTAGAAGCTCTTTTTACAAATTTTATTTGTATATAGTAAAATAATATAACATTACATTAGCTATTTGACAATAAAATACATATAAATTAATTATTAAATGTGAAATTGGGACCAACATTGGCATTAGCCATAAGTGGTCCATTTTTTATGTTGTTAATTAGATAATGGGAGATAAAGAAGGGAGCATACTACACAACCGTATTCCAGGATAGGTCCGACAATAATACGGAATAAAACTTTAAGATATACTCCTTGCTTAAAGTTTTTAGCCAAACGCATAAAAAAATCTAGTGCTTTAAATGCTTTGCAGCAAACATAATCTATGTGCAACTTGGGAACAAGATTATTACTAAATTTAAAGCCAAGATCCATAATAGAGTTGAACTCACGCGACATATTTATTTCATTAATTTTATAATTGAACTTAATAGGCAGTTTTATTCTATGATATGTGAAGACTTTGCACTTGGATAGATTATATGATAAACACATGTTATTTAGACCATTCGAAAAATCTATTGATGTTTTCATGCAGTTTCAAACAGTCGTCATTAGAGCATACACGCATAAATAATTTGATGTCATCAGCAAAACACAGAAAACGACAATGGTGTAAAACTTTATGAACACAGTATATAAAAAGAGAAAATTAAATTAAAGGAAAGTGCCCTAAGGGGCACCAGAAGAAGCTAAAAATATATTAGACTTGATGTCGAATACGTTAACCCATTGATATCGGTCACTGTGATGGGATCTAATCCCGGACAGTAATGGTTCATCAAAACTACATTGCTTGAGGACAAGAATAATGGTATTATGGTCCACTGAGTCATTATATTCTGTATTAGGCGATTTCAAGCGTAAGTCTAGTATAAATATATCATACACAATCGATTCAATCAAGTTTTAGTGATTCCGGTCATAAAATATGAGCCGTAAAAAGTGGCATTTTTGTATTTCCTGTTCGTGGACATAGACACAAAGGTAAAATAAAACTAGACGACATATTCGTGTATAAATGTTTATGTATTGAAGTGAAATAAGCATGAAACGCTATGTCATATTCTCTTATAGTGATCAAGAATTAGATTATTTTCTCTGAGTGTTTGGACGTAATTTTAATTATCCATAAACAATGGCAACGGAATAAAATAATATTAGCTTTATTTATAAGTTATAGCTAAATTTTAAAAATAAATCTACAGCTTTAACTATAGTTATATAATAATCTTTGAATATACCTAATATGTAATTCAAGAATATGCGTACACAACTAGTCAAACCGAATGAACTTAATCCATGTGTTATATGAATCATTTATTATATCATATATGCAATAGACATGATAAATAACAGATGTTTCATTTTTACAACTCAATAGATCATAACTATATTTTCGCTTTTTTTCCTATAACTCAGGAGTCGACAACCCGCGGCCCGTGGGCCGCATGTGGCCCGTGAAGCAATTTTTTATGGCCCGCACAAAGGTAGTTAATTTTTTTGTTTTATTTTTGTTCAATAAATTTTTCATACGATTTTCAATACTATTCAATCTTTTTTTTTTTATAAATAAAATTGTTATTATTATCTAATCGAAGTCGAAGATAATGATGGCCGCACTACTCAGTCATAGGATAAATTAAATATACTTATATATATATATATATATTTAAAAATTAAAATTTTAAATGTATTTAATACATATGTATCTTATATATTTATTCTATGGTCATAGTTATTTTGCGTTTGTTGCAATTGGTATTACACCGTGATTACGCCCTTACATGTGACTGTTTGTGTTTGTAATAGTTTCATTTTACAAGTAAATCCAAACATTATGGCGACTAAAAAAAGAAAAATTTGTGTTGAACATCGTTTTTTTAATAATTCTCGGGTTGATTTATACTTTTTCGTCGAAAACAAAGGTAAGCCATTATGTTTAATGTGTCGAAAAATTAAATTTTTTCTTAAAAGCAGTAACATTCGTATTTTTTACACTCATATTTCTATGCAAAACAATGAAATATAATAGCAATATAAGTACATATCATATGTAAAAAATTTCTTTTAATGTGGCTCTTGATAAACATTTGGAAAAAAATATGACCGGCGTGGTTCAAAAGGTTGCCGAGCCCTGATATATCTGACAGAACCTTTCTTTGAATGTAAATTAAATATTTTAAATGTTGTAATTGCCTCGTATTATACCGAAAAAATGAGATTCATATAATGTGTAATAATAGTAAAAGTGAAAATTTCCATGATTGCACGTTAAATATGTTTTTAATTATTTAACACCCATATCAGCGGGGGACCAATCTCTGTAAGACCATGGGCCCGCAGGATTATCACGGGCAATCGATGTTCTAAGTACGCCATTGATGCTGAGATTTGTCATCGCTTTCAAACGTATCGGAGAGGGCGGGGGGGGGGGAACGACAAACACATTCCGAATGACTCTTACATTCGAAACCAGTACGATATAATTATAACTCGTCGGATTTTTTGTATTTTCGCCGGCGACGTAAACGTTGTAACGAGAACGAACGAATCCGGTGGAAACCAGTCCTCTTCGTTCGATACCAATCATCGGGCGTCTAAAACCTATTCGTGTCACATTATTGTACGCGTTTCTAGTAGTTTTTCGTTTTCAGTGCCCGGGGCGCAACCCGTAAAATCATTCGCTGTTTTTTTCGTCCGGGTCGTTGCCGTGACGATATCGTCGAAGACACGGGTACGCGACTGTGCGGCTGTGGAAAAAAACTAAAAAAAAAAAAAACTACGCAAACGAGTGTCCCGCTGCGTTTATGTACGGGTGTTGCGCGGACCGGACCGAGTGATATTACTGACCGTCTGCCGCGCAAAGTTTTTTTTTTTTTACCGATGCATAACAACAATACTCTTTTACGCGTAGCATTCCGGTCTGCTGCTGTGCGATCCGTCGCAGTACTCGTGCCGCTACCCGTCGTACGAGGCCGGATGTCGGCGAACTTGTTTCCCCGTTATGATGCAACTGCTACATCAAGGATTCCGCGATAAATTAATAATTCAAGTCGTACGCTAGTTTTTCTTCTTTTTTTCATTTTTTTTTTTTTTTTTCAACGTTACGTTTCATAACGATTGTTTGTTGTGCAACTTCTTGTTTCATCCGTATCGATTATTCGACGTACGGTCGTTCTATAAAACGGCTCCAACGTCTCAAACGCGTCCGTTTCGTTTTCAAACACCGTAACCGTCCGCGCGCTCGTTGGCTTTGACCATCGTCCGTTATTCCTCTTCAGTTTTTTATTTTTAATTGTTTACGAATCCGACGGTCTCGCCGAAGACGCACAGGCGCTTATAATCCGTTTCCAATTGTATTGTTTTTAGCTGAAATCGCGTTAAATCGGATACGGTAAACTTTGTAGATTCTGATAAATTATTAATAACTGTTCTCGAATATATATATATATATATATATATTTACGTCGTGACATTTTTTCAGATCAGGAGTTTTAAAAGAGTAAAAAACTAAAATAAAATTAAAAAAAAAAAAACGTAGTAATTATTATAATTTAAATTAAAATAATATCTCGGTGGTTACACGTATGCAAACGATTAAAAAATAAAAAATAAAACAATCCATACAAACACGAATAAAATATAAAAATCAACAAAACGTATGAAACAATGATGGTAGCACGGAACGATTATTGATAAGCTTGTACATAATTATGGCCATCGCATGCGTGTAATTACGTGCAATCCATTACTGTTCGTCGCTAACATGTTTCAATCATAAAACGTATACGTTACGGTCAAAGCGGAGAATTTGGTCGTTGTAAATGTTACAAGCAAAGCAGGGAACCCGGGTTAGGTTAGGGCATCGTGTACAATGATCGGGGACGGTGCACTATGGCCGACTTCCTACTTTGCCCGTAACGCGAACGAGGTGCACAACGCACGGAATATTCGGGCGACGTGCACGATAAATATTTATTTCCCGCGTAGACCAGTCATTGTTGTATAACGCCTGGTCATTGTGTACAGCACTTGAACTGACGCGGTCATTGTGTATAATTTATGATTTACAATACGTACATTTGGTCCGAAAACTGTTGTAAACCGTGCAGTGCACGTTAGTACCGTTTTATACGTCGGTGTGTTCGATTTAGTGTGCGTGTGCGTGTGCGTGTGCGCGCGCGCGCGTTATTGTAGAAATGGAAAATAAATTCGTCGACTCTTTGAACGATATTTTAAAATTCAAGAAACACAACAGTACGTATCTGAGTGAACGTAAATACGACGATCTTCTGGTACATTTAAAAGAACTAAAAGAATCGAAAAAGACGAAAACCCCGAACGATTACAAGCTGATCAAGAAGTACGATATTCTTAAAGTGCGTGATGTGGAAAGACTTGTCGTGCCGACGAACGGAGGCGATCGGATTAGATTTTACGTGAAAAACGAAGAGCTATTCCATATTCTACACGAAGCCCATTTGTCAATCGGGCATGGGGGCCGTAGTAGAATGGAACACGTGTTAAATAGCAAATATAAAAATATAACAAGAGAGACGATTATGTTGTACTTGGGTTCGTGCGAATTTTGTCAGAAAAAGAGCAGTACAAGTAAAAATCGCTTAGAGGTCAAACATAGTGCGCCAGAAGAGAAGAATTCACGTTGTTGTGAAATAGGCGTGATCGACATGCAGACACAGCCCGATGGTAATTATAAATTTATTTTAGTCTACCAAGACCATTTAACAAAATTTGTAAACTTACGTCCTTTGACTCATCAGCGTGCTCATGGGGAAGTCGCGTGCGCGTTACTGGACATCTTTACTATTTTCGGTGCTCCAACAATATTACAAAGTGACAACGGCGGGAAATTCGCAAATGAGGTGATAGAAGAACTATGGAACACGTGGAAAGATTTGAAAATGATACTTAAAAAACCTCGTCATTCCCAAAGTCAAGGTTCAGTAGAACATGATAGCCAAGAAGTCAAGCTTATGTTAGGGACATGGCTGCAAAATAATAAAACCAAAAAATGGAGCGAAGGCCTGAAATTAGTACAATTGATGAAAAATCGATCTTTTCATCGTGGCATTAAATGTTCGCCTTACGAGGCTATGTTCGTATCTAAGCCCAAAATCTGATAAAACAACTGTATATTCCTAATACATGTTATATCAAAATTAAAAACGGAAGAAGATTTAGATAGAGCCTCGAAGATAATCGAGAAAAATTATTTAATGGAAATAGACATCAAAATAAATAAGTATTTAAACGTATACTTTAATATTCACTTCAATTTGTTTATATCATTGTTTTAATATCAGTAAAATGCCATAATGGTAACACATGTAAAAATAAATAAATATTTTTATAAAACATAATTTTATTGTTATTAAGAATATTATAATTTTTTATACTTGGCACTGTTAGTACTGGTCATTGTGTACCTAGCCAATAATTATTCACATGATTTAAACGATTATGAATTGTATACAACCCCCGGTCAATATTAATAGTAATCATTTCTCCACTTGGACCGTAACATTTGTATGGTTAATGTGTTTTAATAGTAAATATATTATATTTTGAAGAGAGATTAGTAATATATTACATTTTAGGGAAGATTTATCATCTAGAAAAATTCATTGTCCAGTTTCGTTTTACGTTTCAATTAACAGACTAAGTTAGTTATTAGAATATTTTAGTAATAATTTAGTTCAATGTGAAATATTCAGTAAGTTAATCTAGCTTGACAATGTAATGTAATACAGAAAAATAACTATTTATAATTGGTTGGTTCTATATTTCAAAAATATACTATTATTTTCGTTCATTATAGATTATTATTTACATATATAAATAAAAAATGAGTTATGGCCTATTTTAGAATATATTAAAAACACTTTTAAAATATAAATTAAAAAAAGTTAATTTAATTATTTTTAATTAGGTTTTTCGTGAAGAATGATTATAAATTAGTGACTGAAAATGTCGAAATTGTAAAATTTAATCAACCGACATTATAAATTTAATGCTCATATTAAGGATATTAAAAACTCGTTTTATTTCGAACCCGAATACGACAGCATAATAATAGGGTTGCCAACCATCCTACATTGAGCAAAACCATCCTTTATTGGGCAGGATTGTCTTACATTTGTTTAATTTGTCCTACGTTCAACAATATTAGAAACTATTTGTAGGACAATCTTACATTTTACAAAAATACCTATTTATATTTAATGATTATTATTCTTTTAATTTTACTAATTTATTATTTAATTAAGGTGGTAAATATCCAAGGGCTATAATTAAAAAGCTAATTTAATAAAAGTGATATGAATAAAATGTATTAGATCTTTTTCTTAGTTATCATTATAATATTATATACTGTTAGTTGCAGTATTGCATACTAAACTATGCATTGCCGTAGCCATGGGGGGAATGAGCCATGTCAACCACCATATAACGTATTAATAACTATAGTAGTGGATTTTTTATTTTTTACTTTGCACCTCCCCCTTCGTCTACCGAAATTCTGGGTACACTGCTGAAACATAGTATAAATTAGATATGAAAATAATTGTCCTACATTAAACAATTTGAAAGTTGGCAACCCTATATAATAATAAACCTGAAGAAATTATCAAGTTTTATTATTTTGCGTTGATAAACAAAATTGAGTATTGGAAATACCTTGTGTAGTATTGAGCAATAGGATATTTATACATAAGAACTATTATTTAGTATTAACTATTATGAAATAATATTGTGCCTACAATGTACATAATCACCTCTAATAAAAACTAGGTTAATACTAAATAACAATAATTGTGTAAGAATATTCAATCAACACATGTGTAAGCAATTTTTAGTATAATATATGTGTACTTATATATACATGTTGAGAGTATTGTAGGTATTATAAAAAGGAATGAGAACATGGAAAGAGAGGTCTACCGTGATGGTCGTGTGACTCGACTACTTTGGAAACATGCATTATATTAATTTTAGTTGTGTGTTTATGTACGTATTTGTACGATTTGATTAGCGTACACGACACACGCCAAATTCAATTTCTGAAATAAATAAAATATAATAATTTTAATTTTCTTAAGTAGTATGATATTACAACTCGTTTGCACATAAAAACAACTCAATTGCAAACACACATTTTAGTTACCTGTGACGAAAATCCCTAAAATATAAAACTCGTTCACACGCACAGCTATACGGTAGGCATACGGTATCTAGTACTGATCATACATTGGGTATAAATGCCTAAAATATCACCGTGATTATAATTATTAAATAATAATAAATTAGATAAAATAATAATATTTTTTAAATTAAATTTATATGATGGAATTTATAATTCCACATACCTTGTAAGTATTCTTCCTCGTGTATAGTTTCCTTTCTATTATAATTCATTATATTGTTTTTGTTGATCAATAATTTATTTAAATATATATGTATGCGTAAATTTCATTGATCCTTAAAAAACACAGCAGCCATCTTAAGGATCAATGTGATTTTCACGTCAATTGTGTAATTGGGAATTACATTATATATTTAACAAATAATATGAAATTGCCTAAGCCACGAAAATATTTTACTTTACTTATCTTGTTTTAATTGTTAACAGAATATTGGTTTTATTTTTTAAAATTGTGAAAACTTTTAATCGTTTCATTATCATATCTTTATATATTTCAGCGTCCTGATATTTAGTTTTATATTGCATTTTTACTTTTTATTTTTTAGTAATATCTAAATTCACTTTGTAGACACGATGGTTTCAATTATTTTTATAAATTTCATATTAGTTTCATGACGTTTAAAATAAGCAAATATTTTAAGTCCATGTATGTTAGAAATCGTATTGATCCATGCCAACAGAAATTAAAAGTGTTTATAAAATTTGAATCCAGATTTCACAGTTGCTGAAATAGTTGTATTAATTTATCACTCAAATTTTCATTAAAATATAATAAAAAATAAATAACGTTTACAGTAGAAAAAATAAAGTTATAAACGTCAAATATTCAAATTAATTATAACAATAAAATGAATAAACTTTTGGATGAGTGTTTAATATTTGTAATTTATCAAATTATTACTACATTTTATCAAATATGTATTATCTGTACAATAGTTTAATTTATATCCAGTGTACTAATATATTTTGTATACATACAGTAGTATACTATATAAGCTTCAGCAACCCCTCTCCGATAACTGATTGAGTTTTTAGTAAAAATAGATAGTTATAATTTTACGTGAGATTGGTAGTCAACCTGTAACAGCACAATTTGTATAAACAATAATATGCAGCATAAACACCATATACATTAGATGTAAACTTTTTAATAACTGTAAAGTTAGATTATTTAAAAATTATCTCTTAATAAAGTTGTTTAAATCGGTCGGCCTTAAGTAATTAACCGTTGAACTTAATAATTAAAAAATAAGTACAAGATTGTACAACACATTTTACTGATATTTTCTTTAAGTATTTTTTTTAACTCGCACCTATTGTTCTAAAGTTTTTTTCTAAAAACAGAAAACGTATATTATGTAATGTGAGGTCTGCTTAAAAAATATCTAATTACACCACCGCATGAATTGTAGATAAAGCCACAGAGGTATTATTAATAACATTTGATACAATGAAATATCATGTATATATATATTTAAATTATTTTATTTAGAATTCAACGTTTAAAAGTTGTTTGGACCAAAATGGATGAGTCATACCTCATTCATGTGATAAGCTTATAGTTGCAATACTTTCATATTTAAATTTCACGAATATACAACTTATCATACTAACTGGTATACATAATTTAAAAAAAAAAAAACGTATGATCACTTTATTCATCATTTAATTGATTTAAGTAATGTATTACACAGAAAAGTAGATATTCCTTTGGTTTTGTATTTCGATAAATTATGTAATTTTGATGAGTATCTACAAAATAAATAAAAATAATGACTCTTTTATTACTATAAAAAGCGAATACATATATGTAAAATGTAGTTTTTGTATTTTATGTAGTTTAGAATGATAAATATGGGTTGATAAAGCTACAAATTATCTGTATTGATTCATTTTGGTTTCAAGGAGATATAAAACATCTTATGACATTCTCACAAATAAAATTCATTATATTTTGAACAAACATCAAATGCAAGCATGAATTAGAGCATAAACTAAATTGCGAAAAAGGCTATTGTGTACAACTAAACGAGTTTTAAATAAGTATGTATTTATAATTTTCAAAAAATATTGAAAAAAAAAGTGTGTAAACCAATGTGAGTGCCTTCGAAACTGAATACATCGTGTGAGTGCGTATACGACATGTTATTATTTATTATATGATATAACCACTGACAAGGTTGCACAGGTCAAGTTCGAAGTACTGTTGTTGTTAAATAATATCATGTTCAACATAATATAAGTGCTGATGAACGTACTGATGATTGGTGTTACTGAAATAATATATTTATTAATTTTCTAATGATATATAATGATACATTAATAAATAATGTATTGTCACCTACTGTATTTTTGCGTGCAAAACCATTTTTTTTAGATTAAACATTATACTGTTTTTAAAATTATCTATTATCATCATAAATAAATTACAAATGATCATTATCTGTTTTTTTTTTTATTCTTTTTTTTTATAATACCATGTTCAATATAATATATGTGCGCGTGATCGTGTTGCCGCTTGGTGTTACTGTAATAATGTATTTATTAATTTTCTAATGGTGTATAAGATACATTTATAAACAAGACTCGGAACGTTATGCGTTAAAAAACATCAAAATATGCGGTATAATATGCAGTGAAAAATTGGAAAATAATTGCTTAAAAATATTAGACTGGCTACTGACTAGTGTACACCGTACAATGAAGTCGCTCGCATGCACATGTATGTAGTATTATAACGAACAAAAATAATATTGTGTATAAGCTAATAACCTAATGGTTAAACATATTTGTTCACGAATTACCTATGGTTATACAATTTGTTTATGTCGTGTTACAAAACATTAATACAGTGGTAAATTTGTAAAAAAATAAATATTGTCCGGTGGTGGTCACTATTACGAGTTCTCAGTACTATAAAGATTATAATTTATTATTATAATTAAGTGCATTGGGAGCTGAAACAATACAAACAATAGTCGTTGATGAATTTATTTATAACGATATAATATTTAGAATTTTGATTGTCATATATCTAATATTTTACTATTAAACTATACATTTTTTTTGAAAAAATTTTGTTAAATCCATGAAATATGCATATAAATGTTCTAAAACCCAAAATATGCGAATTAATACAAAAAATAACAAAATATGCAAAATTATGCAACAAACATTTTTATATCTGAAATATACAAACTATGAATCGAATATTTATCGAATCAGAATTTCAATATGCACTTTCTAGACAAACATGCAAATGCCTAAAGTTCCGAGTCTTGTTTATAAATAATGTATTGTTGCCTACTGTCATTTTGCGTGTGAAAAACAGTTTTTTCATGTTAAACATTATACTGCTTTTAAAAATCTATGTAGGTACACCAACATACATGTACCAAAAAATAAAATTCAAGAAAATTACAAATTTATTTTGTATACTGTATAAAAAATGTTAAAAAAAAATTCCTTGGACTATATTACTACATTGATTTCGCAATTTTATTTCTGAAATCACATACAATAGGTACGCAACGGACGCATTTCATGTTCGTATATTGCACAATTATTTGTAACTTCTTAATGACTGTGTTTTATTTGTATAAATATTATATATTAATAAACTTCAAAATATATATTTACATATGTGATACGAAAATGACGTTTTAGAAAATATTCTATGTATTGTCATTTTCATTAAATCTAAAAAATTAAAAACTGTTGTGTCTTATGAGTTAAAATAATTATAGAAAACTTACCTGCGTAAAATTCGTCGTTTTAATCGGCAAAAATAAGAATAAGTGTGATGATTTAAAAGAAATAATATTGAAAATAAAAAGTACAAAAAACAGTATTGGTTTTATTTTTTTTTTTTTTGGCCAACATTTTTATTTAACAATACAACTTTTTCGGGCCAAACAGAATATTTAAAATATTTATGTAATGTGTACCTGTACATACGAAAAGCGGTATAAAAGTGTAATTACAAACGGTTTGGTATACCGTATACAATGTTGCACGAGTTTATATATACGTATGTGTGTATAAATATATACCGTCAAAAATCGTTGGGATTAATGATGGATGGCGTAGCTGCTACTGTAGCCGAATCCGTGGTCGTGACCGAAGTCGAAGCTACCGTAACCGTGGCCGTGGTGCTCCTTGACGTAGACCGGCACGTGCTTCTGGACGTACACCGGATAAGGGACCGGTTGCGCGTAGGGGATTTTCACCGGCACTTTGACCGGATAGGGCACCGGTCGGTCGATGTGCACCGGCACGTGTTTCTCGACGTGCACGGGGTACGGCACGTGCTTCTCCACAGCCACTGGGTATGGCACGTGTTTCTCAACAGGGACGATGATCGGTTTCTCCACTATGACCGGCACCTCCTTGGTGACGTGCACCGACGAGCTGACGTGCCCGTAGCTGTGGTCGGATCCCAGCAAACCGTAGTTGGACAGACCGTCCCATTCGCTGTGGCCACCGTACCCGTATCCCAGACCCCAGAGGCCTCGTTTGCCCTGCTTCTTCTCTACCGGCTTCTCCGCGCCTGTCTTCTCGGCTTCAGCACTGACCATGGCCAGGCTTACGCACGCGACAACCAACAATGAGATCTGCGAACGGTGGAGCTGATGATATTAACCGATCGTGAAACCGTAGAGATCGATGATTTATTACAAAAGGGCAATCGGAAGAGGGCGAATATCCCTCGGATAAAAATAATTACCCCACCGGCTCAGATATTCCATGTATACGCTATATAAATTCAGTTCATACATTTTATATACCCCTTAACCCCCACGAAACATTGAGTCAAATACAATCGCTAAATCGTAAACAGCAAATAGGCGCGTACATGCTAGTACTGCGTTCAAAATCGTTTAAAACGCATACTACAAATATAATATTTGAAATCGTAAATTAAATTTAAAACTGATAAATAAAAAATGTGAAAAATACTAAGCATGCAACATAGGAAATTAGTGAACGATTTATTCGTTAGAAGATAATCTTCGTATGATAAAAAAACATGAGATCTAATAAAAAAAAACATGATACTTGGAGTTCATATTTTTCAGAATAGTTGAGCGATGTAAGCAATTTTAGAAACAATTTAAATGACCATTTGACAATATTATTTTCTTTCAAATAGACACTTATTACTGTTCGACAAATAATCGAATTTACGTAATGCAAAATTGCGTGAATATTGTTTTGAAAAATACTTCATAAAAAATTAACTAATATAAGTTAGATTTTTTTTTTTTTTTGATGCATCCATAGAATATAAAGATATTGAGTGAGTGTATCTGAGAGAGGTTAATATAAAGATATATCAACGTTATGCACATATAGTGTATTATTATTTAAAAATAAACCTAACATTTCAGGATCTCGGACGGATACATTTAGAATATCGCGGACACGAAATAACTTTTTAGTAATAGTATATCGAGACACGAACACGGTTAAATTTCAAACATGTTCGCGTGGACTTTGAGTAAACATAGCATTTTACTTTTGCTCAAAGCCTGATTGTTAGCTGAAAACCGTTACAACCTACCAATACATTGTAAACCGTTAAATAATTTTTTCTAACTCTCGAAATGCGTACTCGTGAAAAAACTACAAACAACTTGCGATCGGTTATGCGACTAGAAGAAGAAGAATAATAAGAATCTGGATGTGCTACTCACCCAAACCTGCATGTTTGCGGGACTCGTCGTGTCAGCGAACTGAAGTTGTGCAGATGCGATGTTGTACGTCCGTCTCGGTGAAGTTGGACTAGTGTGTGTGATCCAGATCGGCAGAACAATATCCATTTTATAGGCGCTCCGGACAGCCGCCCCAAGGCCTCGGCGGAAACTGTGGGCGCGGGCACGATAACCCGGACGGGGGGAGGGGTCGGGTTAGATGCTCGGAGGACAATGTAAACTTGCACGCGTGCACCTCCAACGCCGGAGTAGTGGTGGACCGTGCGGCGCGTCCAAGGGACGTGTTTCCCAACACTAGCGAGCGCGGGGCCGCCGTTCACCGAGCAGCCCGGTTGACCCGTGCACCCGGTGCTCCAGCGCGTGGCCGCGGCCCCGCGTCGTTACGCGTTTCTTCACGGTTCGTTCCCCCCGGCGCGAATTGCGTCAGATGTCCGCGGCCGAAGTCGCACCGTCGTGCACGCGCGTCGCGCTCCCATCGCCCATCGTCCCGTGGGTCAGTCGACGGTCTCTCGTCTCCGTAACGGTGTTGTATCAATTGCAATCTAAATTTAAGGTGGTTCCTGTTGTATATACTCGAAAACGGTTTTACTGAAAAAAGGTTTGGAATCGGAATTTTTAAAATAATGTAGTTTTCATAAATCCGCTTACCGTTAAAAGAAATACGAGTGTTATAATTCTTCCTCGCATTACAATGTTATTTTTTCATGATCGATTCCGAATCGCATCCGTCACACGTATACAAGTGTGTTTATCTGGTAAAATATTATTTTGATATTACCCTTTTGATAGTGTACCTACGTCGTTTATAAAACCATTCAGCCGGAAAACCGATATTTCTCGGATGATTGTATTTTTATATCATCGTGTCCTTTCAAAACAGTCGTCTCCACCGACGTCGCCGCAGTATATAAACGCGCCTAACAAACCTTTTATGGCCCGATATCGGCGTCGTACGACAAACTCATGAACCGCAATGATATTGTCGTGACTATCTCGACTACAACTCGGCCTCACGCCGAGAGAACGACCACGACTTACACGCGAGGAATTATTATCGTACATCGTATCGCGAACTATAAGAATCGCTATCTGTAGAAAAAGGATAAATCCAATTTAATTACTTTTGATTTTCGTTAATAAATCGTAAATATAGAGTTTATTGCGAAAAGGAATCAAATCTGATTTTCCATTGACAAATTATAGAGTTCCCAAATTCTCGTTAACTGCGCAGAAAACCGTTGGTTCGGTGTTTATTACGAATAGTTATATTTCATTTTTCACAGATGATTGATTCAAAATTTAGTACATTTACCTTTTACGATGATGTTCTTTTATATGTTATTTAGTTTTTCATCATTCGCGAAAACCTAGAAAACTTGAACTCGTCCCCTTTCTGCAGTCAGCAATTAGGTTACACATCTTACAGGATATAGGACTATTTGGATTTACGGGTATATATCTGTAATGCAGCTGCAGATAATCGAAACCACAAAACGTTTCGTTTTTTTCTACGGTGTTGGCAAACCCGTGCTCGCAAATAATCGCGCGCGACAATCTAAAACGACGTAGACTCGCAGCGACGCGTCGCTCAGAGTCCGGTCGATTTTTTTTACCGACAATACTTGTGCATTTACTTGTGCACTTGTGCCGAGAGAAGCAGTACAACGATTGGTGTTAACAGTATAGAAACTGTAATGATTTCGCCAGCCGGAGGAAAACTTAATGGTTTTAAGACGTAGAGCCATTTTTTTATCCTGAGGCAGAACTGAAGCGTTGCGCCCACTAGGTTGCTAGATTGTCACACTTACAGCTTTTAATATGAATAATACGATTCGGAAAAATTGTAATTAGGTTTCTAGCAAAACAAGAAATAACATTTCTTAAAATAAGTTGATCATTTAATACTTTTGCGCCCCCCAGCTTCGGGTGCTCAAGACAAGTGCCCTAGTCACGCGGCTGTGCGGTTACAACCAAGGGAACGGGGGATCGGTTTTGTCGTCCTCGCGGACTCGTCGAACGCCGTTCGGTAAAACCGATTATTGTCTAACCGAGTCTACTGGTTTTGCCATGGGCGAAAAGCCCCGGTAAAAGCCGAACGGAACGGGTCGATGGCGCAAATATTCTGCGACCTTACCCCGCACGTTCTCCGGATCGATCGATCGATCGATCGCACGCGACGTGCGCGTCCGCCGGTACAACGGCTGTTTTTGGCCGTTGGAGACCTAACGGTTCGTTTTTTAACCTTCATTGTCCACGGCGCAACAGCTCGCGGATCGCGGTCGCGCGGAAACCCGATTGAATGTTCCGACCGAATACCGCGCGGGCGTTGCTAAATCGACGCGCGCTCGTTCGTGCGAACGCCGCGGACCGACTTCCCACAGCGCGCGATGGGAAAAAGCGTTGCGATTGTCGGTCGTGTGTGCCGCACGTGAAAAGTAACTAATGACGTGTACTAGGTCGTCGTTGCCGTTGAGCAACACTCGGACACATGCGTGCATTGCGATTGAATTCGGAACGAACGCATTCGAAGGTGATCACCGTGCATCATCGTTTTCGTATTTTTTATTTCGACAACGATAGACGTCGGCGGGGGCCGCCGACAAGAGCGTGAAGAAACCGTCGGAACGTTATTAGATGCGCCTAATCGGTTTGTTTATTCCGTTCCTTTTCCTCCGCTACGTCAACGCCGTTCGGGCGCGCGCGATTTCATTATTACACGTGCGCGGCGATGTGTCGAAATCGAAACACCCCGACGTCGACGCCTCGTGAAAATAAAACGCTGTACGCCACGCGATTTTCCGCTGTTGGTTTTCGCCCGATCCGCTAACGTTGGAACGATATGTTATTCGTGACGCGTTCAAAAAATAATGCACATCGCAACGTCATCGTTAACCACGCACCGCGCGCGCGCGTCAATCGGAGACGGCGTTGGACGCGCGTACACACATCTGCGCGTGTATACTCGTACCTATTATACATGTACGTACATCGCCGGCCAAATGGGAATTATTCGATCGCTTCGAGAACAAACATTACGGATAACTCGTGAGCACCAGCTGACACGTGCACACCTCCGACGTACGCGGACGGACGAGCGCGTAGGCCGGATTAGGTCGTGACGTCTTAGCCGCGACGCCGAGGAATGCATCGATTCGGTTTGGAAACGCGAAGCGCACAAAAGTAAAATCGTGATGGGCGCGCGTGTTCCGTAGGCCTCGGCGGGTTCGAGAGTGATTTCCGAAGACGCCGTGATACAGCAGTTATCAAAACGTAACGAGCGGTACGGCCTACGGAATCGATTGACGAACGACATTCGTACCGATGTATTGTAACGCGCGTCTTACAGGGTGTCCGTTTTACTTGTACCGGTATTTTCGTCCTGATGGTAACCGGATTAAGGTTCTGCACTCGCGCGACACGTTTTTATAATTTTCAAGTATAAACGGAAACGTAAAAAAAATGTCGACGTTTCGAGAGCAACCGTTACCAGGGTTTATTGTTCAAGAGTCCTTACCGAAAAATCCGATCGTCGTCGCGCACGCGGTCGGCATCGCGGTACACTAGTAGACGCATGTTCGTCGGTAGTAGACACCCTGTACAACACTCTTTGGACCGCGCTGAAACGCATCGAACGAGCGGTTAAGGACGTTCAAGTACAGGTATGCATAGGCGCGTGTGGTTTCAATTGCTCGCTTGGAAAATAGGAATATCGTGCGTTAATAATTGTTCATCTGCAAGAATATTTTCGTAGTTTTTTTTTTTCCTTACGGTTTATTTCGTCAACATCAAATGATACACAAAACACGATCGGTAAATAACTGAGAAATAAAAATAATAAGTATCGATATAATATTAACTGTCGGTGTATTCGTGGTTTTGTATATGCTCAGTGCACGTCTGCGAGAGAGAGAGGCGGCAAACTCATTTGTTGATGTTGGCCGTGAATCCCGTGATCTTGGGTCCCAGATAGTTTCCGTGCCCTGCCGCGTAACCGGTCACCGCACCGCCCGGAGACATCACGCCCTGCATCACGTTGAACACGGTGTTCAAAAGGTTGCCGGCCACGGAACTGATGCCCGTGCCGCCCGCACCGACCCCGGTACCGACGCCTTTACCGCCCACGCCCAGGCCGATCAACGCGTGGTTGACGCCGACGCTGTACCCGGGCGGGTAAGGGCTGTATTGGTTACCGGTCTGGTAGCCACCGTTGTACACCGGCGTGCCGATGTAATTCTTGTTCATGTTCGCCTTCTGCCACAGCACCGGTTGCTGTTGCACCGCCGGCCGGTCAACGTACACCGGGTACGGCGCCGCCTTCTGCCACAGCACCGGTTGTTGTTGCACCACCGGCCGGTCCACGTACACCGGGTACGGCGCCGCCTTCTGCCACAGCACCGGTTGCTGTTGCACCACCGGTGGCTGTTGCACCACCACCGGGTACGGGTACGGTTTGGCTACTTCGACCGGCACTTGCTGCACCACCGGCACCTTAACGGGAACGTGTACCGGATAAGGCACGGGTCTGTCTACCGGATACGGTTTCGGCACGGCCACTTGTACCGGATACGGCCGGTCTACTGGTACCGCCACCTTGTAGGGTACGTGCACCGGATAGGGCACGGGGCGATCCACGTTCACCGGGTATGGATACGGTTTTTCCACCTGCACCGGGTACGGCACCGGCCGGTCCACGTTCACTGGGTACGGCACCGGTTTCTCCACCTGCACCGGGTATGGCACCGGTCGATCCACGTTCACCGGGTACGGCACCGGTCGGTCGACGTTCACCGGGTACGGTACCGGTCGGTCATAAGACACTGGTATCGGTACGGGCCGATCATAAGTCACCGGGTACGGCACCGGGTATGGAACGGGCCGCTCGGTCTGTACCCCGTATCCATGGAATCCATATACTTGGCCCTGCACCGGCAACGTGGGAACTCCGTACGTGCCTACTCCCTGCCCGTTCACCGGTAGAGTGGGCACTCCGTACGCGCCAACCCCGGAACCTCCCCATCCCATGGGGTTGTAATGGCCAATACCTCGTTTTCTTGTATTTGACTCTTTGTGGTCAACGGCCGTGGCGACTGCAGTGGACGTGGTATAGTTTCCATGATTCTTAACGTGATCGTTAACGTTGTGGCAGGATACGCTGGCAAACGTAAACACACATAAACACAACGCCTGCGAACAAAATGCACGTGTGAATATACATAAGTTATGACTTTGCGACAAAGTGTTAACATCATATTTAACGCGTCTCGCTCGCAAAAATAGAACGCACGCAATTATTTTCATTAGCATATTATATACCGTAAAGTAGGGATGGTCAACCCAAAGTTACTGAAGGACCAATTTTTAGAAGTTTAAAATATGGTAAAATTTAAAAGTTTAAAAGTTTAAAATTAAACACTTAATTCGACAAATGAAAACATATTACGACGAGATGTTTTCTGCAAGGGTAAATTGTATTGATTTTTATCTGGTACATAGTTGTACTGGGATGTACCTCCATGGGCATGGGTCTGCGTCAGGGCCGTGGAAGGGGTGGATGGTGGACTTAACGCGTTGCTGAAATACTCGAATGGTCACTTGCAGGTGCACGCCAAGCAACAAAGCGTTTGGTACGGTTAGCAACGGATGATGGAACGCGTTCATTGTTCACGGTCCGTCGCCTCGCGTCGACCCTGACACGCATGTAATTCAATCCTGGTAACAAGATGCAGCAGCGCGACAGCTAGCGGATCTGTCGTCGCGCCCGTCGAGAAATCGCAACCGGTCGGCAGGTCCCATAAAGGCAGCGGTCCAAGTGCGGAGGAGATACAAAGGGATTATGTGCCTCCGCTTGTTTTATCCGAAACAATACATCTCTCTTATGATTGTACACGAAGATTTTCGATATTTATAGTGTTTTTCATAAAGTTTTTGTTTTATTTACGATGATTTTTTTTTTATTAGATTTACCATGTAACACAATTTTTGTTTTTTCCGATATGAATCAAGTGTTTTTTATTTTATTTTAACTCGACCACTTGACGCCTAGATCGAATGAAGCTGAACGTAATGTCTTATAATTTTATGACGATAAGAAAATGTGAATACGAATCACAAAACTGAATTCTAATATATATATATAATTATATTTTGATAAGTTTTGACAGCGACCCGTCAAAAATATTTTGTGACCCAATGTTGAGTCACCGTAGCCCACAGGCTGGAAAACGCAATCATAGTACACGAAAAGTATAAAAATGTAGTCATCGCCAAGGCCGTTGTTAGAAATTTCATCAGAAGGCAACCAATTATCAAAACATGTTTATTATTATGTATTAAGTGTATTTTTTAATGTTTATGCACGTAAAATCTTATTTTATAATGTTTAATTATAAATTAGGAGGTAAATACAAAAAAAAAAAAATACCTGTATCGTTAAATAGGAAATCATCATACTAAGAATATAATTTTATATAATTTTAAAAAAAATGTATTGAAAATATAAAAATTTGATAAGTTATAAGCAGTTTAAATATTGGGTCGCGTACAAATTGAATTAAAATGTTGTTAAAAACGGATGTATTTGTTACAGGGGAATTTCCCCTCCCCCCCTTGGCTACGCCCTTGGGCATCACTCCACTGCCGATCGGGTAGCCATACCAATCGAAAGCGAATCGGGCACCGAAGAATCAAATTAAATCATTAAAGATCGGAAGAGATCGATAAGCACGCAACAACACCTGCAGCGTTCGGTTTCGAATTATCGAACGTAACTGTTTCGAATTCGTGGGTCGTTCGGCAGCAATTGCTGTTCGGGTTTTGGTCTCGGCGCCCCGGTTCAATGTCACCGTCGTCAATACATCTCGCCGCCCGGTAATTTCTTAAGGGTCACGTCGCCCGCGTGTCCGCCGCCCGGCCCGTAGAGAAACGGTTCGTCCAAAACGAATGGGTCGTGACAGCTCACGTAACGCCGAAAACGGTATTGAAGCCACGCGGAAGAACGGGCGCAACGCGAACGTACGAAGGTCAACCGTCGATCCGGATCACTTGAGTGATAATCAATCGTGTTCGAACGGCTTCGTCTGCGCCGCGTTACGAACGACGGCCGACAGCGTTCTAAACGCTATTACAATCATTATTATCATTATTACTATTATCGTTGTACCGACCGAAACTGTTTTGTAAAAATACTCGTCCGCGCGCGCCCATTCGTCGTTGAACATTATCGGCGTCGGAGGGTGTAACAGTTCCGTGCGACCGTCGCAAAATCGAGTGCCTACAGGGAATCACCGCGGTCTGTGTGGAAACTCGGACAAAAATACGAATAACAATGTTTGACGTCTCGCCTTGGCGTCGGGAAACAAATCATGTGAACAATAGCGCCAGAAAACAGAACGCAATATACGACCGTCGTCGTTGTTTTTATTTTTTTCGCACAGATTTGATTGGTTATGTTCTTCTCGCAAATCATACGTTTGCTCAGTATGGTTCGTGTTAATTCGTTACAAATGAAAATATTTTAACACTCAACCGCTTCGTGCTCCTGCGTATCATTCAGTGTTTGTGCTTTTAAACACACCCGGATCTGTTCGTGTATTATTAAAATTAAAAAACGTTGTGCCAGCTATACATCGTGGATTTATATGATAAATGTAGATAATTTTACCGAGAAATCTGAAACGTAAATATCTTATTCGGAAGTGTTAATTTAAAGATCAATACACATCGACGACTGCAAAAAAAAAATCACGATGATTTTACACAAAACTTTTGGTTTCGATCTCTAAACTGTTATGCATCGCAGACAATCAAGTCGCATACGTATTGTTTCGTGTGTTTTGATTAGAGTCAGAAAGAAATACATATATTTTAACAATAAAATTTAAATTTAGATATCCTGATATTTGTTTTTCTTACTGATACCAAAAGTACAAATACAATAAGAATAATTAGAAAAATTAACAGTTTGCACTTACTTGTAATTTCATGATGTACAGGTAGTAACCATTCCCGATGAAGTATCCTGGACGACTACGGCAATTTTGTAAAAGCATAGCCATTATAAACGGCTACGGAATAAAGCTTTAAGAAACCGTGTAAAATTCGATTTCCCGTCGCGGTTATGTCATCGAGGTCTTTTTTTGTTCCGATCGGATCATTTGGACGACAGAATGAATCATGTTTCAGTATGAACATCATACCGTCTAGTTAATGAATGTCTCCAAGGGTACATCATCCCATAGATGTATCCCACCCGATTCGTTACTGATGATCTACCGATTACGCAATGTATACCCACGTTGTGTAATGTCGCATAATGAACAATGCTCGTTGAAACGTATTATGCGTCCCGATAAGCATATTGTTGCGAGGACGTAGATTGAATTCCAGTTTTGAACTAAGCTCCTGTATTGAATTTAATATCACATTTCGACTGATCATAAGTTCAAACACGGATTTTTTTTCTTTTTAAATAATACACTTTCTGGTAAAATTTACAATTAAAATTCCTTTGATCTATATAAATAAATAAACATCAAAGTAGCAAATAATATACATTAGATACTTTTTAGTTTTTATGGTTTATGATCGATTTTTGAGATCTATCAAAACGATTATTGAATAAAACGTGCTATTAATCATCAAAAACCATCAAAGCTCTTTCATTGTTAGGATTTTTAAACTCTGTCAAATAAGCCAAATGCTTATAGACCTATTCCAATTTTTTATTGTTAATTTTTTTTTCATTTAACATATTATCATCTTTATAAAATTATAAAATTAAAAAAAAAAAATGGCTGGATTTTTAAATTGGATGAAACAGTATGGTAGGATGATATACAAGGATGAGTGAATGGTATTAATGTACCTATTGGTATTTTATACTTTAAACCAATGATATCATTGATCTCAAAAAACTATTCTGAGTGAAAATGGTGGATGAATCCAGTTTATATTTGTGATGTTTGTAAAGTGGGTTGGACTTTATGTCTAACTTTCACACAAAAAAGAGAATTTGGAAAAATCGAAAATGTCAAGTCTCTAAAAATAAAACTTCATTAAAATAATTTTAAATTTTAAAATGTATTTAATTAAATAACTAATTAACTAATATATGACTAATGTCGTTTAATGGAAATTCGTTGAAATATGAATTCGTAAAAATGTTAATTTGTAACGCTTATAAATCTTTTTTGGGGCTTTTCATTATTTTTTTGGCTACAAAAATAATCATATAAAAAAATCTTACATCTAAATTTCAAACCTTTTAAAAATTGGTTATTTTATAAATTTTCGATTGCAAAAATGTAATAGATTTTCGTGATTTTTATCGTTTTGTTAAAATGTAATATTTAAACGCTCGTCATTTTTCCTATTAATATTAATTCAATTTTTTTCTACCATCAGTAATATATAGAGGTATGAGAAAATTTGTATGATATTTTCAAAACTTTTTTCAAACTAAAATTATTTTATCGACATTTTCGGAACAAAGCCAAGAAAACATATAGATTTCAATTTTTATAAATAGCTAAAATAAATTTGTTTGAAAACATACTATCCATAAAAAACGCCAAGACAGGCATTCAGTGAAAATTTCAAGTTTCTATAATTTTTATTTTACGAGTTACGAAGAAGACAAAAATTTAATTTTGTCGAAAACTGGTATGCCATAAATTTTGGCGTATTATCATTATTTTTGTTAGTTTTCTTTAAATATTCAGAAACTATTGAGAAATTTAAAAAATGATTTTTCAAAAGTATCAACTAAAAGAACTAGTTTCCTTTCTTTTCCTTTTCTTTTTATGATGTTCAGAACTCTCATTCTGTTCAAAATCGTGTATATAGACATACAAACATACACAGAAATACACATGGTTATTAAAACCAAAATATTTCTCGTTCACTCATAATCTAAAATTACAAAATATCATTATTTTTTTAACGTATATATTTTTATAAATAGCATAATTAATTATTTAACTTTAAAAAATTAATAATAATTTTAATTAATAGGTATTGCTGAAATATTTTCGATTAATGTATTAAGTCACTTATATTTTTCTTACACTAAAATATAATTCAATTAAATTTAATCGAACCCCTGAAATATAATATCTATATTATGATAATTAGAAATTTAACTTGTTGATTTCAGTTCATGATATACTGGGTTGTATTGTAGTTTATGCGAGTACAGTTTTAAGTTAATTTAAAATAGAAAATATAATTATGTAATATAATATTAATCCGAGTTCAACGCTTGACTATTTAATAATAATAATAATAATAATAATAATAATAATAATAATATAATTTGAATACAATTTACTAATAAATCAAAATTTAAAACTATCATTGTTTTCTTTTTCAGTTTTATATCCACTTATGTTTTAAGTAAATATAGACAAAACTACATTCAATTAAATATGTGGACAGTATACAGAAACTAGGTGATGGATGTTTGTCTTGCAGTTTCGCTTCGTTGACTCTGGTGCAAGCTGGTATTGTATTATAACGTAAGAATTGAAAACAAAAGATTAATTCAAGAACATTCGAAAATTTATTTCGCTTTCAGTTCAGTGTACCTTAATATATATTTGCATATTTTAGATACTCACAGAATGAGTATTAGAGATAATTTTCAAATATATTAATATAATATGTTTTTAAATCATATAAAAAAATAACCACTAAAATTTTATTTTATCGGAAAGATATATAAAATATGATTTTCATTACTCGTAGAGTATATTCCAATTAAAACCTAAAATTACAGTTTTGGTATAAAAATAAGAAATTTTATTTTAAATAAAAATGATAATCTTAACTCTGAAATAATAAATATATTTTCTGAATAAAGTGTAAATTATAACAAATTAATTTATTTTGCCACAACCAATGATCGCATGATTATTATATTTTATTTTGTTAATTTTTATTATTAAGAAATTACAAAAAAATCTATACAATTTGCATAAAATAAATAGGGTCTGTACAAAAATAATACTCATAATGTCATTGAAAGTCACTTCTACTTAATTTTTCGTACCACTAGCAATTATATTTTATAAACTATTGTTTTCTTTTTCGAATGTTATTGTTCATTGTCACTTTCTAGACCTGAACGTTTAAACTTTTTGATAAAACTCTAAGCGAATAAAATACTAATTTTCTTTTAGTGTTAATTTTTCAGTTTTTTATAAAAAAAACCTCAACCCAATTATTCAATGTCAAATTTTTTTTTCATAGTTAATTAGTAAAAGTAACTAGCTAACCTAAAGCAAAGAGAAAATCAGACTACATGGATTTTTCAGTGATTTAATTTCGATCCAACAATTATTTTAATAATTACATGTATCTTCAAGTTTTTATTTGATAAAGATCAAACGTTTTAAAATTAATTTTCATTAATTAATATACAAACTAAATAACCAAAGTATAATAAAACTGTAGTTGTAATATACATAATCTCTACTAATAATTATTAAAATAAAAAAAAAAACACCTTGAAATGTTATCAAGCTTAACATTTCTTATGAGTTCATTATTTTTTCTTTCGTGTTTTTTCAAATAATGAAAATACCAATGTAACAACGAACTTACTTATACTTATTGTATAACTTGTCGTTAAACTTTCTCCACTTTTGTAGTTTTTCTACGGATATAATTTTTTCTTATTAGGACTACTAGACGAATGTGTTGTGTACAGGTACGTACGAAATATTCACTTCCGACAGTTTTGTTTTCTTTTATTATTTATTTACGGTAACGCGGTAAATGTATAAAACAGGTTCAGCTGCTCAGGAATTCCATTATGACACATGATTTTGATCACGTTAATTTTTGTTTTCATTTACAATAGTACCTGTAATGATTACATTACTATTGAAAATTGCTTGAAATAATGTCTAGCTGCTATTAAAAATGTCTGCAAAATAAAAATAACAAACTATACTGTACTGTACGAGCATATTACTTTACTATTTTAAAGTTCCTAAATCATTATGTTATTTGAAACTAACACGTTCGTATAATGATAATCGTACGCTATCTTTAAAATGAATACGTTTTTTTAAACTACTTTTAAGCGGAAAAATTGTTGATTGGACACACTCATGGGGGAGTACTAGATAAAAAAAAAAACTAAAAAAATACATAATAAATAAATATATATATAATTTGAGCTGTGGAACATATGTAAAATAATGTATGGTAAACTAATATTTATATTGATATGAATTCGCATACGTAAATATTATTTTGATTAATTCCAATTTCAATATTACATCGACATATCCTACATTGTTAGAAATAAAGTTCAAATAAAAACATAAAATCGTATTGAACGTATCGCTACCGTAAAGATTGATAACAAATCAACAGTTATTTTTTTTCTAATTTCAATGACCGGACAGTGAAGTTAGTTGGACTTCAACAGCGTTCATGCGTAATGCTGAAAAGTCAATTGCGCCGATTAGAAATCCCTGCTAGTGCTCCATGTTTTCGCAGGACTGTTATTTATTAACCAATTATTATGTTTTCCTTTTTTTTTTTTTTTACTCTTGGCGATTTCGTGATCGTAAAAGTCACGACTTGGAGGTATCACGACGTTGTACGCAACAGATTCGATTCGCCGTTGGTATACTGTAACCGCATAAATTGCACAGACCGTTGACAAAGTGTAATAACGGCTAACGGCATACGACAACGATTTGGCCGCGAAACACTCCAGAAAAACGCATGTACAGTGTACACAATTCGTAAGTGGTTCACCGGTTATTGGGAACAATAACGAAAATTACAAAACGTTTTCGATACGTAAACGCCGACGGACGATGCCCCGTGGTGTGGTCGACCGGCGGCTATTGTTTCAATTGGCTTTCGCGCCAAGGCCAATGGTACGTAGACGTGCGCGATCACACACACACACACACACACACATACTGCTGGATGTTACGCCAAATGTTATGCGTTGCGATGCCGTAGCCCTTAAATTGTTCCACGTACGGTTTTCTGGCCCACCTGCATTAATTAACCGACGAGAATGTTAGGCCGTTTCGATTACCGTCGTTTGAGCATGAACGCGCTCGTCTGCAAGGACTGACAAATAATTGACGGACAGCGAACACTTGGTATTGTTTAACAACGAAACATATTTTTATTCATGGTGTTGAGTACAATTAACACGCGTTCAGGTATAAAAAAAAATTACAATCTAAGCATATGTAAAAAATAATAAAAAAATAATAATAAAAATCAAGTATAGAGAAAAGTAATAAGGCGACCCAACAAGAAATGTATGACTTGAGAGTTGAGTGATGTCGGGAGACCGTTGTCTAATTTTTTAATTAGTTGGAGCTACGCTTCGCGATCGGAGTCCATCCACCGCTTGCGTATTTCGAGTGGCCGTCGTGTCCGTACGATGATGACAGACCGGATCCGTAAGAAGATGATCCGTACGAGGACAGGCCGGATCCGTAAGATGATCCGTACGAGGACAGACCGGATCCGTAAGAAGATCCGTACGAAGATGGACCGCTGTACAACGAAGAGGCTACTGATGGGCCGTATGACTCGTACGAGGACAGCGATGGGCTGGAGTAAGAAGACGCCAAGGACGGAGATCCGTAGCCAGAAGCGATGGATGAGATTCCCAGGCCGTATCCTGCTCCGTATGCGGGTGCTGGTGCGGCGTAGGCTGCTGAGAACGCCGGAGCAGCGATAGCGATGGGCTGCGGTGCTTGGACGACCACCGGGGTGGCGACTGGCACTGGCACGCGTCTGACGACCGGAACAGCGACCGGACGGGATACCGGCACCGGGACGTTTTGGACGACCGGGACTGGGTACGGGGAGGCAATCGGTTGCGGCACAGGTCTGTCGACCGCGTACGGGACTGGCCTTTCGACCGGTACTGGGTACGGGGCGGCTACGCGGACCGGGTACGGGCGTTCAACTGGGTACGGGACCGGGTGCGGTACCGGGACGCCGACGGTTCGTGACACGGGCACTGGGTACGGGGCGGACACGGGTTGAGC